AATCACAGTACATAAGAAGATAAATATCGAAGCCAATGGTTCTCGAACATCTGTAACATACAAGGGATTAGTAACAAGAGAGGGGACACAACAATATGCACAGTAAATAGATTAATAATATGCACAGTAAATAAATTAACAATATTGTATTAACAATACAGTAAGTAAATAACAAGTTCCCGTATAACAATGGGTTAGTAACAAGAGAAAGGACGAGTAGGAGACGCGCGCCCACCCTCCGCGACGGCTCACGAGAAAGTGAGGAAGCTAACGCCGTTATGTATTGGGCGTACGCAGGTTTGTTTGTGTTGAATTGTTTTTGCCGGCTTGAACGACCTTCCTCCTTGAATGACCCAAACACCAGATGGTACGGCCAGGTACGCAACGTCACTAGCACGTTGGACCGACGGAGAGCACCGATATCGCGGCACGCTCTACCGTACTCTCTCGCTCGCACACTTCCCCCCATAGACCGCCGAAATTTTTCGGCACGCGTCAACACCGACGGAGAGCATCGATACCGCGGCTCGCTCGCTCGCACGCCGTGACGTCACCCGATTCCCGGAATCCCGCGGCTACGAGATGGCTCATTATGGTAAGGCTTCCCGCAAGGGAAATTGTAAGCCGCCGGCCAAAAACTGAAGCATCGGATATTTTTATTCTCATGAAATCATATAGATACACGTAATATGAATGGAATATATAACACTTCATTTGTGCTAATAATACTCAGAATTCATGCTTTATCGGTAACGTCGGGTATTGACACTAAAATGGTAACAGGGCTACGTAGCCTTATGAACGTGGGACAGAAAAAAGCATTGGATGATAGGTCTATTCTATACCTAGTCGGTGATAAAAGCTTCATTCATACTGGCACTTTTTTTAATTTATTTTTTGTTTGAGATTTCAAGTGAGAATAATTCCGGGTAGATAGTAATATCTGGTGAACTAAATTTAAAATTTACAAATTCGTAAAAAGGAATTAAGAAAAAGTAAATGTGCATTCGTCTTTTAACGTTACACATAATTTGCCTACATTTACGTTTCATTTATTAATCTCTTTAAATAACAAACGGCAGATAATAAAAAGTATGATTGTATTTGTTACGTCTTTTTTATTTATACGCAGTCTATTATACGCAGTTCCCTATGATGCATGCTGACCCACTTGTTTGGAGCTTCGTAGTACAAGCGTACGGCGTAGCCACCGCTAGCGCGGGAACTCGGCTGGCAAACTCGCGCTCTGATTGGTCGCGGTTTTTCGTTAATATCTCGGTAACGAAGCCTCAGATTACATTGTTGCTAAGGAAAAAGTTGTTCCAATTCACCTTCCGAGTGCTCCATTTCCGGGTCGGAGGACATTTTTGGGACACCCTGTATAGGTTTGTATGTATTATACCCTTGGGGGGGGGGCGGAGGCGGGTGTGCTTCCGGCTGCGTTTTTTGGTCTTTGTGTGTTGGGGGGAGGGAGGGGGCCTGGTTTTGTTGAGGGGTATGGTTGATTATGTTATTTGGTGGGTGTGTTGTAGGGTGTTGGTCCACGTTTTGGGTTATGCCTGCCGGTTTAATTGTGTTCGTTTGTTTTTGTGTATATTTCAATGTTGTTTACTTTTTTATGTTATATCTTCGCTTCCCTCCCCTTTCAGGTGTGGTGTGAGGGGTGGGGGGGGGTGTAGTGGGGGGTGCTTGTCTAGTGGTTATGTTCCCCCCAAATTTTAATACCTGCCTAACTGAAATTCACGTAACACTATGTTTTTAGCGATTCTTTAAATAAATTTCTATTTCAGTGTATATTTTAAAATTAATTCTTGTTTCCTTATACACTGTAAGCATATAATCATCAAGTTATTGTTCAGCTTGAAGAATTCTACATGTACTTCTTCAGCGGGTTTATATGATCCCAATACATTTGGCGTAAGTTCTCATGTGGCGTAATATATCTTAACACAGGAGTAGGGTTCAAGACTCTATTTGAACTTGTAACACATCTAATCTTTTCGTTACACTATCCACCAAGTGTTCAAAAGTCTATTTTAAATCTGGAAATTAATTACTTACCTTGAAACGGTTTCTTTCCTCTTTTAAAGGATTCTTTGACACCGCTTTGTCTGTCTTAGCAAACTGTTCCGTAGGCGACTTCCTTCCAGGAAGATATTGAGGTATCCCACCGCTGACGTCAATTTTGTGACGTGTGTAAACCATGTAGATTTTTTTTAACAAAAACGTCATTTATACTTTCAATAAACTACATTTTATCATTAAATATAACCCTTAAAATAATACAGTTAGTTAGATTAAAGCCATCGGTAGTCGTATGATGAATGAACTATTGCGTTGGTTTTCACGCTCTTTATATATTCGCTTGATTAAACAAGTTGTTTGTTTATTCTATTATATTATAAAAATCGGGCCCTGTTTGCAACATATGTCTTACACTCGTCACGAGAAGAACAATCTATAATATACAAAACAATAATGGAAATGTAAATAAAAGAAATTCATATTCTGATTGAACAGATCCCAACAATCCAGAGCTCCTTGTACTGATCTCAACTATACTTTTATCTAATTTTTAACATGCTTAGATAAAATTTCATTGGGAAAATTCGCTAATTCTTCGGTAAACCTCTCATAGAAACACTATGACTAACACAAATAAACGGCGGCAACTTTATGGCACTAATCCAGAGTTTATTCTGTATCATAAATATTATTGTATCATACAATAATATTCAATACATTGATTTTTTTATAAATTGATTAATTAAATTTACTCTAACAAAGCAGATTCAAGAAACAAACAAGAAAATTTGGAAAATACGTCAAGAATTGAAATGAAGTTTATAACCAATTCAATTTGGTTCTACTTGAAATAAAATTGTATCTATCACTGCATTAGTAGAAATAAGACTCACTAATCTGAATATCCATACAATGGACCTTCCATATAGGCTTTCTGCATATCCATGGAGTTTCTACGAAGCCGTCTTCCAATCGGTTCCAAGTCATTGTAACATTTATCAAAAACTCGCATCACAGCTGCTCGTGCCACATTCTCCGAAACCCGTCGCACAGCAAGTACGGATTTAATTGCCTTGTCCTTGACACAATTCTGAATAACAAATATTACGAACATGTATACTATACATATGTATATATCTATAATTACTTTCACACAAAGTAACTGAATGTAATTAAAATTAAAAGTATACAAGTGCAAATTATAAACAGTTGTATAATACAATTATCCGAACAGCTTCATATAAAGTGTCATAATTCGGATAAATAATACATTTCAATAAGACATATTTTATTCGATGTTTTTCGTTATAAATGAAGTACATATTGTAGGCATCGGCACGTGCCTTTGCTGTGCCGATGGTGGCTTGGGTAGGAACTGGCACGTGAACACGTGGATAAAAAGCCATTGTGTCACATATCGTGGTTGTGCCGCCAAGTTGTCGTTGAGACGCGGGCCGCCGATAGCGGCATGAAAAGCGGATAACGCTTCCGTGTGATCGACATCTACCGCCGATAACGATCCATCAAACGCGGAGGTCCTGCGTGAGAATGTGAGTGCGTGCGTGCGTGCGCATTTTATTTTTTCTAATTTTGTTTCTTTTATTTATTGCATTGCATTAAATTTATTGCGCTTTTATTTGAATTTTCACAACGTAAAAGAAGAGTATTAAGTTTTATTATTAAAAATTAGGTATGAATAATTTATTGAATGTTATTTCAAAACACTGGGACAGCTAAATTAATCACTAAAAAAAAAATTTCATCCAATAACTCTGTCAAATGAACGCTTTTAGAATTTTTAGATATTAATAAAAGCGCCGCTTTTTAAGCGGTAATAGGAGCAGTTGTAGAGCGACTCCGTTGTGAAATCGCTTTTGTTACTCGGAACGGTATCTGAGTTATGAACAACCGCTCCTGCACGAGCCGGTTTGCTTATTTTACGCTCCCTGGATTTCGGTAAGCGCCAGACAGGTAACCGGGACGCGCTTCTAAAACCCAAACGGTTGTAGTATGAATTCACAGATAGCAATTAACAGGGGGTAGCGCTTCGTAGAAAGTAACTGACGGTAGATACTTCGAGCGCTTCTGTTAAACGATTTGACGATTTGGACCCTAAACTGACTGGCGCTACTGCTTAAAGAGCGCTTACATACCGCTTCGCAACGAGCGCTTCGTTACTTTTCCATCCCTGGCCCTACCTCTATGATTCTGTGACAGAAAATGGCCTATGGGGAATTAATTAATCGGACCTGTATTCCATTTGCATACCTTCCGCGAAACTTCTTTCTAGCTCTCACATTAGTACAGTGCCGGATAGCACATGACACCGAATGACACCTTGAGGACGACTTAAAGACGTCTTAGACCTAAAATAGCCATAAAATGGGCGTCTTCAAGACGTCATGTGCTATCTGAGGCAGGACCCCTGTATCCGCAGATTCAATATCCGCGGTTTCACTTATCCGCAGTTGACCACGACTCGAAAAAATTGCGTTCAGATGTGCAATCTATCTCTAGTAAGTCTGCATAAAAGTCACACAAAATATTATCATAGGAATGTATAACATGTACATACATACAACATATAAGTATGTTTGTATGTATGTAGATTAACGTGCAAAATCGACTTCTGTTACAGTAAAAAGCGAAATTCTACAATTCTCAGTTTCCATTACCAGAAAATTGAATTTCAAAATAAAAATGCAATTGTTTTTATAGATTTATTAATAAATTTACCAATATCCCAAAATAACTATTTTTCCCTGCGGAAACCGAGAAGGTCAATGTCTATATCCGCGGAAGGCCTTGAAACCAATTTTCCGCGGCTGTGGGAGTCCTACTGTAAAATCTTGTAAAATTATGAAACGAACATTACCTGATGTGCTTCCTTAACATTAAAGGGAGAAGCATGTCCTTGCACCCATGCACTAAGAAAACTACAATGACATAGGTTTGCTGCTCTGATTTCCGTACAAGCTAGATGGTCTATGTTATTAACGTCCATATAGTTACGGCAGTAATCAAACATATGAATCATTTCATGACTTAAAACGCCTTGGACTAGTCCTTTAGATGGAGCAGTATTTTGACAAACTACGATCTAAAACAAACAAATTATTATACAAAGTATCTTCTTCCATTTGAAGTCTTAAAATATTTTCTTTGTTTTTAATGATACTGAAACTGACTAAACAGAGATTATTTTTTCGATTTCAATGTCATTGTCCTTTTTAAATGGAATGACCTATTTTTTGTAATCTCATTATTATGGCTCGACAGAAAAATGCAGTTGTGTTGACTTTAGACAAATATGTATTTTAAGAAATTATTTAATATATGGTGTTGTGTCTGGATATGCACCTAATAGTTACACCGTGAGATCATCCGAGCAGCTGCAGTTGCTCCGCTAAAGAATATTCGAATCAACAATTCGTGCCGAGCGAATAAGCAAAACTCGTGTCTTGTCGGGTGACCAAATATGTTCATCCCTACTATCTCATTTCAGACTAATACGACTTTATAAAAACCACGCGAATTGCCTGGGGAGGGGAATTATTTTGAGCAACAACCGCTGAATTCCTATTCTTTAAACACTCCCGAACCCAAAGTATTCCAAATTATGCGTTGGACCCTCGCAGACACAACAATAGAGACAATGTGTATCCTTCAGTAAATAATGATTATCAATGGACGAATATCAATATTTATTATTATGGTATTAACTTCAAAAAATTGGATCTTGAAAAAATACTCCAATGCAAGTTTTCATATCATTTAAAATACAAAGATATTAGAAATGCTCTAATCAGGTGAGACAATTTGTATATCAATTCATTAATATTTACCTGATTCAATTCTGGATCATATCCACCTGTGACTGATGTGTCGCACATTTCACAAGAAATATGACGGCGAATGTCAATTTCACTGTAAATAGAATTTCTATGTAAATATATTACACTTATTTCCTTTATTTATGTTTATGCTTACAGCATTGAATAAAAAAAAAGACATAAAACATGCAGTGTATTGCATTACCATTATATCAAGCAACAAGGTACAAAAAATGACACCTAATACTACAGCTATACCATAAAAACAGTCAAAAAGTAAATACTTGTTACATACCATCCTGAACTCTTTAATGCTGCCATCATAAGTTTAACTAGAGGACCTAAAATATTTAATTTAATTATTTCTAGACTTTAGTTGCAATAACATATTTTATGAGTGCAGAAAATTAAGTTTTTATAATTTAACGCTACAACTCCGCTTAAGTAAAAACAATATTGTTACATAAATATGGAGGTATATGCAATAAAATATAAATTTTTATAAAAGGGTATAGTAGGATAAGGGGGTCAAAGGTGTCCTTAGGCCGATTTGGACTTGCAATACACCATTCGATAGCTTGTCAAGAAAAAACAGTTTGTGTCAAGTTGCAACCCTCTATCTCGACCAGGAGGGTAGTAATAGGGAAAATTCAGCTTATTGGTTTTTCCTCCATTTTCCTTGTTTAATGACGCACAAGAATTCTGTAAAAATCTGATAGATAGTATTTATCGGGACGCGTGTTGGAGATTTTTTTGCAACTTTTCAGTTGGGTATCCTAGTTGTAAAAAATCAAAAATGATGAAAAATATTTTTTTCTTATTGAAGTTTTAACGGCACTACATTTATCCGTTCACAGTAACAACATATTATCATAAGTAATATCCTCAACTTTTTTGAGATTTTTGGGTAACGTGCGCCGTAGTTTGAAAAATCAAGAACCGATTTTTTCTGTAAGAAAGTAACTTATACTTTGAATTTTTGTATTTCCTCCAAATAATCATAACGATAGGTATTCTTAATATAAAGATTTTGTATGTATTTGGTATCAAAAAATACAAATAATCCTATCATTACTAGGGCACCTGGAAGAAGAAGCAACGAAATAAGAAAGAAGACTGTGGACGACAAACAGTCTCATTTGCTATAATCTATAAAGCTATAATCTACCCACAATGGTTGCAGATAAAGGCTTTCAAAATAAATTCCAAATATTCATTTAACGTAGAAAATTACAAACAATCCCGTAAAGGGAAAGATATGTAGCTAGAGAAACGATGCGATGAAAACTCTTCCAAAATTATTTTTGTACGTATTTTAGACTAAAAATATTTTAAACTATTTTTAAAGTGCTTGCAAATAAATACTGGTCATTGTCATTTAGCTAGAAAGTAAAAGAAATATAATTAATGTAATAAAAAAAAAGTTAGTCCAGGCGGGGCTTTAATCCGCGGTCGAGTTTGCAGCAGTTTCCCAGTCGGGCATTTATCCTCAGCGACATCGGTGGTTGTGGATTTATACCTAAATATTTTCACATAAAAGGGACATAGTCCATTGTCAAGCAGTTGTGTTAATTTAACTTTTTGCTTACATATTATTTTGCTGAATGTAGAAATACGTAAAATCATAGAATATACTTATTTAATAAAGGAAATACAAAAATTCAAGGTATAAGTTACTTTCTTACGGAAAAAATCGGTTTCTGATTTTTCAAACTACAGCGCACCTTACCCAAAAATCTGCAAAAAGTTGAGGATATTACTTATGATAATATGTTGCTACTGTGAAAGGATAAATGTAGTGCCCTTAAAACTGCAATAAGAAAAAAATATTTTTCACAACTAGGATACCCAACGGAAAAGTTGCAAAAAAATCTCCGATAAATACTATCTATCAGATTTTTTACAGAATTTTTGTGCGTCATTAAACAAGGAAAATGGAGGAAAAACCAATAAGCTGAATTTTCCCTATTACTACCCTCCTGGTCGAGATAGAGGGTTGCAACTTGACACAAACTGTTTTTTGTTGACAAGCTATCGAATGGTATATCACAAGTCCAAATCGGTCTTAGAGCACTTTTGACCCCCTTATCCTGCTATACCTTTTGAACTGTGTTGTTTTATTATGATGAATATTTTTGATAAAGAAAAAAGATTTTATATAATGTACATGGTCATTTAATTAAAAAAATAAGATAGAGAGATGTTTAATTAAAATGTACAAATAATTAATATATTGGACATTTATATACACATACTGAAAATAATATTTTTACAACACAATTGGTACTGTAATACCTCTATGAATTTTAGATAAGTTGATTATAAAAGTGATTTAGTTATTTATCTGTAAATTATTATCTTGATAAGATTCAATTTTTTCTTTTGTCATCATATGAATGATTTTTTTTACTACACTGTTCTTTAAAGTAACAAGACCATATTATTAATATGTATATTGACAAGATTTAAATGTTATTTCCATTTTATTTGATATAAATTACATGCATCCACTGAGGACATTAAATTAATGAACACATTAATATTTTAGAGATTTGAAGTATCCATAGCCCAACATCATACAGCTTTCACAGTTGTGACTTTTGGATATAATCTATGCCCATTTGTAATAAATACCCAAATGTTTTACAAGCAATGCAACTAGCCTCATCAGATTCACATAAATATTTGGAAACACGTTTCAGTTAAAGTTGATCAGAAATAGCACTATTATTTTAAAGTTATACAAATGTCACCAGTTGATTGTTAACAACAATTACACGATTATTCATATATGATGGCTTACTGAAATATACAGCTATATTTTGCTGTAACAATTTTTTAGTACAACATTGTGCAATAAATTGCTAATATGTGAATGGACACAATGTTTTTGATAATAGTGTAACCATGGACCCAGTCAGCCAAAGCTGCAAAGCCAAAGTTTGTCCACTGCCTGTTATAAAGTTATCGCTACAAGTTTGATGCAAGATTTGCTATAAATAACTTGCACGCACCTAGGCAGCAACATAGGCAACAAATTGGCAGCAACATATACAGCAAATTGGCTTGTGTAAATCTTGTTCCAGTTTTGCCCTCAATGTGACATAGGTCAGCTTACAAGAGTTGTTGCCAATTTGCTTTACCATTTTATTAGCTGGCGTTGCCTAAAAAACCCAAGTCAAATGTGGAAACAGACAGCTATAGTTTTTAGACAACTTTTGTCATTTATTGCTGGCAATTTGCTCAAAACTTGTACACAACTGATTATCAGGGGATAAATACTAAAATATACTATAGAATAAATATGCACATTCAAGAATTACAATATCCTACAAACAAAAAGTACAAACTGCAAATAATAGTGAACCATGTTTTATAGGTGAATATAATATCTACCACAAAAATATGACCATAACATATATACTACTTTTAGTCTCAATGTTTAGTACAACAGATTCCCTCTTATTCAGTCCTGCTTAAACCAGCCACTATTTCATTGACAAGTCCAATGAAAGAACAATGGATACGTTCTTTAAACATAATTCGAAATATGTACATACAAAATTTGCTAGGTCCTTCTGTATAACACACACAATGCTAAATGTACTTTTTAATGTATTGAACATTGTTTCAATTATTATTGATTTTATTTCTTATTTATATTAACTTTATAAATGATATTACCATGTATTTTCAGATAATTTGATCATTTGTTTACCCAGTTATAGTTCCTGTCTCATAGAGACTGATTGGGAGGGAGTCTACTGTAAATGCAATGCTACTGTAGAAAGGAATGAATACAAATCTGTGATTAGCTCCCTAACTGACAGATGGCTTTCTTCTTATTTATATTCATTCACATATTGCAATCAGTATTGCTCAATATATTGCAAGGATAACAATGCAATTCGTAAAGAAATCATAAATATATGAGACAATGTAGTAATATAAATATTCAAATGAATACCAACAACATGACACTATTCAATCTAACTCATATCTCATGAATTACTTACAACAAAATAATAAATATGGTTTCAATCGTGAAGAGTTAAATGTTCTCAATATTTTCAAAATTTTAAATTTTTATGGAAAAATTATAACTCAAATATTCTAAATTTACTTTGTATAGTGGCCAAATATTTTTGTGAATTTACTGTTTGTTTGTTTTCCTTATTGCTTAAATAACTTTATGTACTACATTATATTTCTTCTTTAGTCTGTTAAAATTTTCTTATAAAATGGCAGAACATAATTATTTGTAATCATTTTACTAAAAATACAAATGTAGGAATTATAATAAACATTCATACTTTATTTTAACTAAAATATTTTAGAAACAACATTAAAGAATAAAATTAAAATCTAAAAAACAATAATCTTATTCACAACTATGTAAGTGCATTGTGAATCAAAAGTTTCCTTAGAAATGAAACATTGCATTTCCTTCCATTGAGTTATTGATAATAAATGAAGTGTTAATTATGGTGTAAAAGATTTTTTTGATGTTATAAAGATCAATAGTATTTAGTTAAACTGAATTATATGAAATTCAATTCCTTTAAACACTTTTCTACATTTCATTCAAAAACATACTAACCATCTTTTGTCAATGTATTTTTATATACTATCAATTCAATCAAAGGTAATACAATATATTAGTTACAAAGGATTACTTCGTACTACAAAAAAATAATATCATTATAATATGAAATGCTATATTATATTATGTTATGTTTTTTCAGAAACTATCACAGGTGACCCCCAAATTTTGGTGTTATATGCCTCCACATAATTAAATAATTCATTTGTTATAAATATATTTAACACGTAACGTTTTTGAATAATTACAAAATTAGAAAAAATAATAAAATCCAAAATAAAAAACAAAAGTGAAAGACCTACTGTTTTTTATACACTTGTAAACATTTGATTCGCATTTCAACTTCGTAAGATCTTCTCGATTGTTGAAGCGACGAAATATATCGAACCAACTTTCGGATTTTGATTTTGATTTTGATCCTCTTCTTTCCGGATAGAGATCAGACAGATCGGACTCTTCACTTTCTATATTATTTACATTTGAAATTGGTTCCTTTTGATTTTTTTGTTCTTCTGTGTCTTCTACATTTGTAAAAGTCATAATGCTGTATATGAGTTTATGTAACCGATCGCAAAGTATAAACTAATTCAAGAATAAAGAACAAATACACTTTATGTTATAATTTTCGAATCGTTATATTATTGCTTTTGGCTCACTTTCAAAAGCCCACATTTACGTAAACAGTTTAGGTTAGCACCACGGATGACTATATAATACAGACTAGAGACCCTTTAATCAGAGTCATGAAATCACGTCTAAGAGTGGTATTCGCAGTCCGAATTTATGCTGAAAATCGTCTTAAGCATCTGCTTAAGTTCCCGTCTAAATAGATTACTGGTTATCGTTAGACGGGGACTTACGCAAATCCTTACGTCTATCTTAAGAATAAGTTTGGACTATGAACACCACCCAAGTCTGTGAACGCCATTTTTAGGAAAAGGTGTTATGAATGGCGGTGTGGTGGCGGTATATATAACGTTGTTTTGAAGAATTATACAATTGCTATTTTAGAAAAATGACTGCACGAAATTGTACCAATTCATCACAGAAAGGCTATACTATGAGAAATTGAAAATTACGTTATACAATTACATTCTAATTCAATTACACTGATGATTACAGTAATTAGTAATTTAATTAGTTGAAAATTTTGAATTATATACTCAATCAACGAAATCTGCAAAGCCAAATTTTGTCCAATGCCTTTTATAACATTATGGCTGCTAGTTTGATGCAACATTTACTATAAACAACTTGCGCGCATATTGGCAACAACATAGGCAGCAAATTGCCTCGCGCAAACTTTGTTCTGGTTTTACCCTCAATTTGTCATTGGTTATGTTGCAAGAGGTTCTGCCAATTTGCTGTACCATTTTGTCACCTGGCGTTGCTTGCAAAACCTAAGTCGAATACGGAAACAGATGGTTATGATTTTTTAGACAACTTTTATCATTTATTATTGGCAATTTGCTCGAAACTTGTACACAACTGGTTATCAGGGTAACGGAAATGTCATTGATGACGCTATTGCACTTGTATTTTTTTGTATACTCTCCATCATAATCCACAGCGTCTTTCTCGGAACTGTGAAAACATGACTTCGGGAATGACAACCGGTCACCGATTTGACTGCCGGTATCTATGCGAGACGTCGTTTAACCTTCCCTTTGTGGAGATGAGGTTAAGAAACGTCTCCGCGCTAAAAGAAAAAGGTCTGGAGTAGATCAACATGCCCGTCTTATGAATCAATATACAGGGTGTCCCAAAATATCTTCGACTCCCGGAAATGAGGGGTTCCTGGGTTGATTTGAAACAACTTTTTCCTTAACAAAAATATTATCCGACGCTGTGTTAACGAGACATTAACGAAAAACTCCGACCAATTAGAGCGCGAGTCTACCGGTCGAGTCCCCACGGTAGCGTTAGTTACCAACGTGTAGCTAATGTTACCGCAGAAGCTTGGCCGGCAGACTCGCGCTCTGATTGGTTGGAATTTTTCGGTAATATCTCGTTAACAAAGCTTCGGATAAAATTTTTGCTAAGGAAAAACTTGATCCAAATCATCTCAGGAATCCTTCAGTTCCGGGAGTCGAAGTTATTTTGGACACCTTGTATATATGTTGATACCACATGGTCTGTCGTTTAAGTAAAGGCAATTCTTCTAGCAAAGGACCCAATGTATCCTTAATAAAATTAGCGCAGATGTTGTCATTGAAATTTCCATTGATAAAACGAAGACCAATAATTTTATGACCTGTGATACAGCACCATACGTTTACAGACCATTGTCTCTGGTGTTCAACCGGCCGCAGCCAATGTGGATTTTTCGCTGCTCATAAATGCATGTTATGCGAATTAACATTCCTGTCATTTTTTAATGTTGCCCCATCAATAAATAAGACGGTATTAACAAATAACTCATTGTTTTGGATCTGATCTTTAGTCCATCGACAAAGTTCAACGCGATTCATGTAATCGTTCCCCTACAATTGTTAATGAACACTAACATGGTACAGATGAAATTTGTGCTGGAATAAAATGCGAAATACGCTCCTGCTACTAATGCCAGATTCGCGTTCATTTTGCCGTGAACTAATATGAGGATTTGTAGCCACTCTTGCAAGCACACTGATTTCATTTTTACGAATACTTAAACTACTGGAGTCGCGTCCATCTGCGGGGACTTCTCTTTCGAATCCGCCTGGAGTTGTAAATTCCAGGCTCGACCGTCGTGGTCGCGTACAGTTGCGACTGTTGCCCGCCAAATTAATATTAGGCAACTATTTCAATATTCTCTGGTGAGAAAAACGAATATAATTGATCGACCGTTGGAGCTGACGAATCGTGAGGTGAATGTTGTCGAATGAATTGAGTCCGTGTGACTCTTGTCGAAACGAGTGCGTGAATAATGTTCGAGTACGAGTGTTCGAATGCGGGTGTATGTCGTGTACGACTGATCGAATGCGAGTGAATGTTCGAATTTCGAGTGACGTCGCGCTTCCTCAAAGTTCGCTGAAGGCGTTACCAAAACTCGCCTCCTTATTGGTTATGCCCTGAAGGGGAAGGCAAATTTCTCGGTTTTTCCAAGCGACGTGGAGGTGGAAAACCTCTCCTTCAGGGCGAAGCGGACGTCAGGAAAATATCGCGCATGTGGTCACGGTGTGAGTTGACCGCGACGAATTTTCGAGTCTCTCAACGGTAGGGTTTATGACTGTATTGTCTGCGAGTCAGCGCGCCCCGGTAAGGCCCGGCGCGGATGGGTCCCAGGTTACCGAGCGCATGTGGCGGACTGCAGACCAAATTTTCGCTTTGTCTCTGATTCCCTTTGTCAACAAAATCGAAATTGCAAGGCGTCGGTCTTGAAAATATATAAACTGAAATAAGGAAATAAAATAATAAAAAATAATGGTACCGCCTGATTCTATAGCCGTCGTTTCGGTCTACGACGGAACAACTGGTTTGCCTAAGTTTATCGCACACATTTTTGAATGTTCGACACGAAGGCTGAGACCGATGTGGATATCACTCAGCATACAAGTTTTTTGCCATTACAGAATTTTGCTGTCATTCACCATAAATAAGAAGCATATCGATTTGCTCTTGAAACGAATACAACGTGCCCTGTTAAGTGATACGATACTACTTACACTTATCATGTTTATCTTATTCTGCAAACTTATTAAAGTGTCCTTCAAACAGTGTATATTTTCAGTGAAGTAAATCGTAATTATTATCGTTTTTCTCTACTTTCTGTGACCTTTAATATCAGACTAAGAGTTCACTGTCATCCAAATTAACCTGAATACGTGTCGGTTGGTCACCGACTTATTGTACCAGACTGCCATTGAACTGATGGCTGATGTAGTCATCATATCGGAACGCCACAAAATATTGGATCACTGAATCACGACAGGGGATCCAAATGTAGCCATATGGGTGACAAAAATAAACTGACTACAGCATAGCGAGGGTTCGGTGAGAAGCGCTAATGGCATTATAGCGGCCGTGATACACGGGACCATTGTAATCAGCTGCTATAAGTCTTCGACTGTTCCTTTCACTGCATATGAAGCGTACTTAGACGATCTCGAATCAATCCTCGACGACACCAGACATACTCCGGGAACGATAATTGGGGGTGATTTCAATGCAAAATCCCTTGCTTGGGGCTCAAGGCTTACTGACGAGAGAGGCGCGGCCCGATGTAACCTATTGGGGAAAAGAGGGTTGGTCGCGGGCCACTCGGAGGGCTTCTTCTCGTTTGAAAGGAAAGGTTCATGGTTGACTTTATCGCCACGGACGCCGTAACGGCGAGAAGACTAACAGTATCCAAGGTCCTTCACGACAGATAGGTATCTCTGAGACGTCTTTTTAGATGGCAAGGGGGAAAATAAGGTCGAAACAGGGGGATATAGCACCAAGGAGCTACATTGGAACCGGAATGTTTGGTACCCAAGATCTCTACACACAGGAACCTGAGAAGAAACTGGTGGTGGAATACAGACATAGCCGCAGCCAGAAAGGAAGCTAACCAATGGAGACGTAAACTAACTAGGACAAGGAAGACATACAAAGAAACCATGATTGAAGAAGCCAAGACTAAGTTTACATTACTATGTAAACAGCTGAGAAACCTAATCCTCAAACGTAAGGGCAAAGCTTGGTTAGACTTCTGTAACGACCTAAATAAGGATCCTTGGGGAATCTTTACAAAAAGATGATGGCGTCTATAAACCGCAGGACATCCGGCGGCCTGAACAGACAAGCTACAATAGGGATAATAAAAGGCCTGTTTAGGACCGGAAACCACCCCTCCACGGCTCCTCCCGTGGAAACCGACGATGATGTAGTCCCATCATAACCCCACAGGGGCTAAGTAAGGCAACGGAAAATTGGAAACACCTAAATGCAGGTGGCCCGGACTGGATCCCCAGTGGGGTCCCACGGACCCTCATATGAGAATTTCAACAGGATTTTATCCGAATATTCAGTACAACACTGGAAACAGGCAAAATCCCTAACGCCGGGAAGGAAGCCAGGTTGATCCTTCTAAGGAAATCAAGGAAACAACCCACCAACACGGGACCATACAGGCCCATATCCCTCGCCTCGCATGTGGCTAAACTATGGAAGTATATTATTGAGGATCGCGTCGAAAAGTTCATCGGTCCAAAAGGCATTTAATCCCAAAAATTTGGTTTTCGCCGTGGCATGTCGACCCTGATGGCACTTGACGAGGTCACGAGGCTGATGGAAACAGCCAGGGGGAGAAATAAACTCCTTTTCCTAGTCACGTTTAATATCAAGAATGCGTTCAATACCATCTCCCACGAACACATAATGGAAGAATCAACCAGAAGGCGCATCCCGATATATTTAGTTAAATGTATTTGCTCATTCCTCCACGGGAGGAAAATCATTGTACACCACCCAGAAGATAACATCGCGGTACACACGAGGGATGGGGTCCCACAGGATTCGGTGCTGAGGCCGCTACTATGGAACTTAGTCTACGACAATGTTATCAGGGTAGCGTCCATCCCAGGGATAACCCCAGTAGCATATGCAAACGACCTAGCATTGCTCATCACTGTCAATAACAGCCAAAAGGTCGCAGGGATCCTAAATTCAGTACTTAGGGGAATAACGCGCACTCTGAAGAAGGCGAGTATGGATCTCGCACAAGACAAAACAGATACCACGCTGTTAACGGTGAAAAGGGTCTATAAGAATCCAGCCATAGCGACCGACCAAGGGGAGATGACCCCCTAGACTGCGGTGAAATATCTAGGAGTCATCTTGGAACCCAGACGCACATGCAGTGCCCATATACAGTACATCACGAGAAAAGCTGATAGAAGCATGTGGGTTCTTGCCAGACTACACCCAAACGTAGGAAGACCTAAAGTCCCACGTTAGGAGACTGTACTACGGGATACGGGAATCCATAATATACTACGGGTCACACCTATGAGCTGACTCCTTCAGGTGGGGCACCAATGAGATCACCATTCGACGCAGTTATAAACGGCCTCCAATCAGGAGGATATCTGCTTACCGTGCCACTTAATACGAAGCACTATGCGTCGTATCAAGATGTTTTCCGGCAGAAATTGAGGTTAGGAGGAGAAGGGACATGTGCAACTTAAAAAACAAAAAACCAGAAAGAGCCATACTTACCTGTACACAAAATGTGCCCAGAACCCTAACAGAAGAGGAGGCTACAGAGAAGATTAAAATCGAGCACACGGAAGCGTGGCAGACAAGATGAATCAGAAGCACATCAAACTCATGGCTTCACAGATTCATCCCGGATTTAAAAAACTGGATACACCTGGAAGGAGAAATCACTCTGGACATTTACGGAGTACAATTGTTCACGGGCCATGTCTCCTTTGCAGTTTACCTCCATAAAGTTGGCAGGAGAGCAGCGCCCGCGTGCCAGCACGGCTAAAAACTTAATCTCGAAAATCACTAGTAGCACTGACGTCGTATGGAAAAACTTTCTAGAATACGCGAGAAAAGTTATTTCAGTAAAAATAGAAAAGGAAAACAAATACGTTTTCGAAGGGATCAGGAAAAGGGGACAAGACAATTTTGCTTTCCAATTTTTAATATTTCTTTCCACATATTTAGGCAACTAACTTTCTCATTATTTTCGAAATCATTTTTAACAATTATTGTTTCGTCAGGTTTGGGAAAATACTGAAAGTTCACAGTAGCGTCGAGACAAGCTTTGCTGTTGCACCCATATACACACCAATTATCTTGAGTTTTGTTTTTTTGGTGGAAACCGAATTCCCTATGTATCTTCTATTTTTTAAATGAAGTATTTAACATATCTAGCGTATTAAAACAAAGAATGTACTTCGAATGACCAAAAACGGTATTGACTCCGTATGTTACATGGGACGGTTACCCCGATTTAAGTGCTTTTAATTTTTGCCACCAGATCGGGTAGCTTCAACACTCATTTCCAATGTTAATATACTGGGTGAATCGCTCGCTGCCAGGGTCGAGAGGCAAGTTGCCTGCTTTGTCATTTAACTGCCGCAACTATAAACGTGTCAACGGTAGCTTACCGCTGCTGAGCAACCAATGTGTGTGACAAAGACAGAGCGAGAACTCTATCTGTCTCCGTCAAATACATAGACTGTTCAGTAGGAGTAGCTGGTAAGCCTCTCGACCCTAGTGACGAGCGAGTCACCTATACTTCGTCAGTGTGTACAATAAGGCTAACAACGAAACCAAAAATGACCTGGGATTTTCGGAGAATTGAAAAACTCTATGACACTACATAACACAAGCCCGTGTGCTCAAGCCGATGGTAGCCATTTCGAACACTTGTTGTAAAGATAAGCACTTGCATATCACTAGAATACAAAAATGGCTATAATTCGAGAACACAGTCGAATGGGCCACGTGTCTATATGAAATTTTTTCATTGTTTTCTGAAGTGGGGCTCACATGTTATGACACAATAAAAATCTATAGTTACAGTATCTGCCAAAATAACACGTTGTCTTTGGATAACACAAAACTAATGGATAAAAGCCTAAGACTTAAATTAAAAATTGTATCTTAGAAGTTTACAAGAAAATGATATCTCTTATATATGTAAAAAAATGTACACTCGCGTAATGTACTCAATAAAGCTCTCCTTTATTAACATTAGCGTAGTCACATTTGAGTGTTAAACGGCCTTAAAACTTATCACTCGCATCGCACCTGTTACGAGCCCGGGCCGTAGCAACGCGAGAGGCCGGTGAGTTTAGGTTATCCAAGGAATATGATATCAGTTTATTAGTAAGGTGCGCGGACGAACCTGACGCGAAGCCAGAGAGCTGCTAGGATGTTTGAAAAGGAGGACGAACCTAATGCGAAATCAAGGAGCCTCTAGAAATGGAGTCACTAGCGGACGAACCTGATGCGAAATCAGGGAGCCGCAGGAAGGTGAAATTCGTGAACGAACCCGATGCGAAATCGGAGAGTCACTAGGATGTGATTTTGTAGACGAACTCAGCGCGTAACTGAGGAGCTGCGAGGAGGGTGGAAAATCTGTACAGACGAACCTGATGCGAAATCAGGGAGCTGTTAGGATGCGGACGAACCTGATGCGAAATGAGGGAGCCGCAGGATTGGCCAAGTTTCGTGGATGAATCCGATGCGAAATCGGAGAGCCGTTAGGAAATGTTAGTTAGTGCCTCGTAACCTTTGAATTTATAATTAATACAACTCGAACGGTAAAGTTGTATTAGTGTAGGAACGGTCGACCTGATATTATTCTAAACTAGAGGAAACTAGTATATCGATAATACTACAGATTTATGGATCGTGTTATGGATTCAAAATGAACTACACAGATTTATAAAATAACAGTATATTTAATCAGTCTTTAGTTACAAATGTGTTGTGTTGTGCTGTCGCATAGTAGTAAATAATAATGAAATAATAACTATTACCGAAATAAATAGGTGCTCCAAAGTAATAATTCTAGCCGGAATACAAATAAAGTGTTCACGGTTTATTACAAGGTTAACTGGATTCGAAAGGGAACTTTAGCCCGATCTCACTAACGTAATGACCAACTCACAAGAACGTGACTCGACGTGACTCTAAAGGTGACGGTACAGTTCTGATCCCCCGAGGGTTGAAATCAACGGGTTTATATAGGCCTAGAAATTGGTGGGGATGCTATGACATTTCCATGTAAGGAAATTTTTTACGGTTGAAGTTGCGTCACGTTTTCTAGTTTTTTGGTTACCACACCGTGGGAACGGGTTTTACTCCCTCACTTACTCAAGAACTAACGAAACCGTAAGGGCGTTTTCCTTTGCCGGGTGCGAGCTCAGACTATTAGCAAGAGGTATGATAGAAAATTCTTCATACGTAACACACCCATCATCTGTAAAATTTTAATTTTATTGCTAATACTGCTTTATTCGACGTCAACGGAGCCACTTGAATATAAAATCGCAAGCTGTGAAAAAGAAGGTGTAACAAACGAATAAAACAGAACCGCTCATCTTTGTAACAGGAAAATATATTCTTTTTTACATATTATGTATAACAAAAATGTAGCATGATAAAAGTCCTGAATATCCAGAAATGCTACATGACTCCAATTTCTAAACGTAAATTTCCGTAATAACAAATCTAGATTTTAATGTTTTTCTATTAGGTGAATATTAAGGACAAATGTTTTGGTTTCTGTCTCAATGAAATCTGTCACCATTTTTAGTTGTACAAACTCATCCATAAGTGAAAGCAACAGGCATTCACAAATCCCTCGATTAAACTGTAGATGTCTTCTATACAACATGGACTATTATTAATTACTTCTTTTGATTTACAATAAACTGCATATAGATCCTAAAAATAAAAAAGAAAATTCAATTAAATACTTGTACTTTATATTTATTCGGGATTAAATTATTAAAAATATTTGCAACACAAATACAAAGTTTAACCCTTTAGTTACGAAAAGCATATATACAGGATGACCCGTAACTAGCGGTACAAGTGGAAAGATGGATAGCCCTTGCAATACAGGTACCAGAGATTGAGAAATAGTCTATTTTGTTTACGATTAATACAAAAGTGTGGGAAGAACGTTTGTTAAAAAATCAGTATAAACGGCAACTGTCAATGTTTTTGTTCGATGAAGAACGGTCTAGTTACATTAATTTAACAAATTTTGCACCACACATTTATTGAGTAACAATAATTGAAAATTAATACGCCGTTCTATTTACAAAGAGTAAGAGGGGACGACTTTTTTGCCATCCTAGGACACTCCCCTGAAAAATTTGTTAGATACCAAAAGATCAGCCCCTTTGTCTCATTGAATACGTTAGCTGCCATGTGACACACCGACGGCGAAGTTGTTTGTACAGTTAGATAGCACATCAGGCATGTTTCTTTTTCATTAATGTCAGATGATTTTAGGGTTTCTTTGAATTCGATTGTAAAATAAAGTAATGAAGGTAACCTTTTTTTGTCATACTATGACTTGATATTCTTAGCTAACAATAAGACAAGATTTTTATCTGATTTGAAATAGTAACCCGTTTTGAAATTATTCTCGAATGACATAAATATGAGTCACTTTATTTGTCATAAAGTTAATTTGACATAAATATTGGTTACTTTTTTCCCTAGCGGAAGCCGAGTTTGCTCGCGAGGTACGTATGTTGCTTATCCGACTACTGTATCTCAGTCATTTTCTATAGCAACATGTTGTAACTAAAGGGTTAAACACTATACGCATTTTCATATGCCACAATTAACCGCACATAAATTCATTTTAATGCAGTTAGTAATTATAAATTACTATTATTACATTATTCATATAACATAATAATAACGTCAATATATTATACAAAAAAATTACGAACCCCCTTTGAAGCATGTACATCTATAGTCAACATCATAAAAACTTGGAAGAAACTTGGATGTAATATAAGAAGATGTGTAATATTTCCATCTGGTGTGATAAACTGCTTGTGATGATCTTGATACTTATACTGCAAGAGTTTAGATAAAGTCTGATACCATGAAAGTGGTTGGTTAATAAGAGGCCTTAGTCTCGGATCCAGATTCGATAATGGTTCTACATGTGCCAAGGAGCACAGTTCAGAAAATTCTGTATAGTTCATTGTAGATTTACTTTCCAATAGTTTATTCCAGAGTAGGTGCGTTTTGCATTGTAGTGCTCCTCGATCTATCATATTTAATATATGCATACGAGCAGCTTCCGCCTGTGACATTATCGTCTGTTGCATCAATTGTTCGTGGGAAGAATAATAACCCAAGTAATTAATCGACTCTTGTCGTATTTGAATCAAATGCGATGACGGTGAATTTGCTGAAATACAGGGGGGATTTGTGTTTTGCATCAATGGCGAATTGGGTACAGGCGGAGGAGTTGGTGCACTTGTGCTCCTACTGGTAGCACTGATACTGGATATTCTAGTGTCATTTGTTTTGTTATTTAAACCTTGGCCATTTTCTTGGAAGTTCGTAGGGAATTCTTTTAAAAGTCCTTTCTTAAAAATATCTGCGACAGACGTCGATTCTGCAGAAGTACTGGTCACAGGCTTTTCGATATTGTACACAGTACGAAATTTTCCAAGCTTATTGTTTTCTACTTCTCTCTTTGGATACAATTCTCTCTTACTTGTCAGCATTAGATAATACTTCAAAGAAATTCCGGTTTTTTCAATCTGAACAGGTTGCTCTAAATATGATACGATTAATGCAACGTCAAAGTCGTCGGTATACCTTGTGTCTTGCGCGTCACAATAACTGATTAGAGGTGTATTCTTTAAATTTACTAAAACATATTCACTTTCTTGAGAATCCTGATGATCACAATTCATTTCAAATACGTGCATGTTGTAAATTTTCTCATGCGACAACAAATAAGAATATAAAGTGCGACCCGGTATTGTTAAATTACAAGTTGCCACTATATCTAAAACACAAATGTTATATTATTAGGAACTACATACATAATACTTTGATATAAACGTAAGTTAATAATCTGAGACTAATAATACAATAAATTAAAATATTAACCCTTAGGCTGTAACATTAAACATTATATGATGTCAATAATAATAACGTATAACTGAAATAAAGATAAAGTGAATAGATTAGAATTTAGAAATGGTTGAAGTAGATATATGAAAACACAATAAGGTACAGGATATTAATAAAAATATGGGACACTTTCACTGGATACTACATGCAAAACTAATTGCAAGACAAAAATCAAGAATGATGAAATTGCAGCGAAAGAATTACTATTTAATATAGATTGAGATTTTTAGAAATTTGTTTCGTACTAAGAATTTGTTCGACTCACCACTGTATATAAGGTTTCTAGCATAATTTGGTGCTTTGCTGTAGTACTTGTTAAAATCATCAAGAAAATGAATAAGATGGTATCCTTGTTGTAAGGACCAAGGTCCACTTCCAGCAATGTACGATTGGATGCAGCGTAAATGAAAATCGTATGTAAACGAATGCAGGTGCATATTGATTTTAATTTTATCACAAGCGTCCACAAAGCTTAACAGAAACTGTAATAAATTAAAAGTTTCGTAATTGTTGCAATTTACAGTAAAGAATTACTCGAAAATGCCAATTGGGTAATACAGGGGTGTCCAACCTTATGGTTTCCGTGGGCCACATTGGAAGAAAAAAAAATTGTCTCGGTCCGCACATGCAATATCCTAATTCCCAACGATAGTTGTTAGGCAAAAAAGTTAGTAAATAATGTACACTTATGATATCTACCATGACAAATAAGCAAAAATGTCGTAGCATAATAATCTTTGACATCTTTTCGTTTAGAATTTAAAAAAAAATCTGATTGTTTGAAAGAAGTTTACGATTGTATGTTGGGCCGCATTCATTACAGCGCTAGGCCGTGGGTTGGACAGCCCTGGGGTAAAGAGTCATTACTGTGATATATAAGGGTGTCCCACCTAACCTTATTTGTCACGGTACAAAAAAATGGTTCGGGAGAAAGTTCTTGTATTTTAGGGGGGAAATTAGGCCATGAAATTAAAGGTCATCTCAAGATCATATCTTCTCAGATTTCTCTAATGATAACGTTTTTTTTTTAAATAGAATGCCCTATTTTTTTGTTTGCAATTACAAAGAGGAGATCAAAACGTATCCAACAAGGTATCACACTATGGGATGACAACACTTTGAACATACACTAAAATAATAAATAATGCGATTATGGCGTTTATTTTGTTTCTGCAATTCATTTTCTGTGAGCTTCCACCTCAACCAGTTGCGTGCGAAATTTTTAGCCCAAGGTCATAGTGTGATACATTTGGACGGAATTAGCTTTAGTACAATTAGATTTGTGTAATACATTTAGACTTCTTTACCACGGAAAAGAGGTTTGGGGGCATGTTAGCTGGATGTGTGAAAAGAAAATGTGAGGGAGCGTTTTGTCCTGGGCCTGCTAGTGGACTCGTCAGTAAGGCTACCGTAGCAGATCCTGCCTTAGACGCGAGGATATTCGATGGTCGGTTAAGGACGTATATGTACAAACGAGGAAAGATTCAGGTAGTTGTGGGAAAGGTGTTAACTCGGTATACCTCCAGTGGCCAATGTAGGGAGGTAGTACCGCCACAGAGGGACAAAGATTTGCAGGAGAAAGAGAGGTGGGGAAGGATATGGAAATCTAGGTACAACAAGAGGCACATGAGAAGAGTAAGGGACAGAATAAGCAGAGTTTTAAGATAGAGTTAAGTTAATTATAAGCTGGATGTATGCGTCCACAAGTACAAAGGATGACATTTCTCTCTCTCTCCCTCTTTTCCCTCTCTGTTCCTCTTTCCCCCCACTCCCTCTCTCACCCCCTCTCTCCACACTACCCCCCTCTATCTCTCTCTCTACGATACCTTGAAGCGAATAAAGGAGTGTGGTGAAAGATAGTAGATGTAATTAAACTAATATACAGGGTGTAACGAAAATGTTGGAGGACCCGAAATGAGAGACTCGTGAAAATTTTATCCGAGGCTTCGTTAACGAGATATTAACGTCAAAACCCCGACCAATCAGAGCGCGAGTCTGCCGGCCGAGCGTCTGCGGTAACATTGGCTACGCGTTGCGATTGGTAGCCAACGTTGCCGTGGGAACTCCACCGGTAGACTCGCGCTCTAATGGTTGGGGTTTTTCCGTAATATAAAATTGGAAAATAATTACAAAAGATATATACTAAAAAATAGTTTGCTAAATTGTCATAGAATTACCTGATTGACTAGGGCGCTACTAGCTTTTGTTTGAAGGCGACTGCACTCAATAATATGTAATTTTACAATAAAGAATGGCTGCGACAAATAAATTTCAAATAGTACTATTCCTCCTAGCATAGACTTTTTGAGATAATACGACTGCTGCTGTGTTAGGCCTTCATAGCTGAAAAATATTAACAATTATTAAATTATCACGTATTGATTTAAAATATCTTTAAACAATAGGTATATACTAATTCTTCGATAATTACTCGTTCATTCGAGACTGATCAAAAGAGGTTTTTATATCTCTTTTAATCTCAACACACTTGCTCTTGAATTAAGACAGTAAACCAGACAAAACTGAAATTACATTAATCTATAATTTATAATGCACTCTATTCATATCTGTTTATTAAAAGTATACTGCTAACAAAAACTTACCTTTTATTGAGTGATTCCACTTGAACTGGATTAAATCCCATTATTTGAAGATATTGTTTGTATTCAGTCAACATCAAACTACACAATTCTTGATGCCATTTCATAATATCTGTTTCTTGAATTTGACTTGCTTGCAGTTGCTGTGATAACTGTTGATGCACATTGGTGTTCACATGCATAGAGGATTGCGTTGATAACGAATGATCCCTCGTCGCAGCTGATTGTAAACGCCAGGAAGGCAAGAATAACAGTGGTGTATGACAGAAATGTATCAATCGGGAGTGCTGTTTCGAAGTATTTAAAGCACTGGTGGAAATTGGAATACTTGGAGCGGCGCTACGATTTTGCCACATTGCATATAACTTATTTAAGTCCTCTGAAAAACCAACAATAATTTGTATAAGCATTTTTATTAGCTCAGCATTGTAAGACATGATGTGCAAGTGTATGATTATAATCTAATATGAATATATTCAAGAGATCAAAAGCGTTTTCGTGGGCAACATTCCCTTGATTGGACAGTCAATGAGTTGACCTTCATATGTCCTAAACCTAATAGTTAACGAGATATCAACAAAATAATTTTTAATACGTACTTACTATCTGGAAACGAAAGTAGATGCTCGAACTGATGCCCCCAACTTTAACACAACGTGTTTACGTGTCAATGTTTACCAACAGAAATGTTATTGACTTATAGTATACTACAGTCGTTTTCCTAACATTTAGTTCAGTATTGTAGAAGATATCTTCGACGTTCATTTGCAAGTATTCGGGAAAGCACAATTGAAAATGAAATACAGTAATATTGAGTGTGTAGAAATACTGGTAGTTTATGGTGCTTGCGGTAAAAACGCAACAAGAGTGAAAGAAATTTGTGCTGAAAAGCGTAATCCACCATCTCGATGTATGTTTGAGAGACTTTGTCAATGCTTTCGAAAAATTGGTGTTTTCCATATCATTAAACGTAACCGTACCAAACCCGTTGTTAATGAAGATAATACTACTGTTTTCGTAGCAATGGTAATGCAAAATCTACGTGTCAATACACGACAAATTGCACGAAGTTCGGGAATTAGTTCAGCTAATGTACATTGAATTCTTCACACAGAACAATTTCATCCATATCATATGCAACTTCATCAGGAGTTACATGGAACAGATTTCAAAAATCGCGTTCGATTTTGTCAGAAACTGTTGTAACAAATAGACAGAAGTGATGCTATCCTACAAAATGTCTTATTTACGGATGAGGTGAGGTTTACTAACCATGAGGATGTTTAAATAAAAAAACATCCATTATTGGTCACAAAGCAATCCTCATTGAATTAGAGAATTTGATCACCACCGACAATGGAGCATCAATGTGTGGTGTGGTATACCCAATGATAAGATAATTGGACCATATTTCATTGATGGACATTTAACAGAACGAAAATACGTAACTTTTCTTACGGATATACAGTGAACTCTAACTATATTGCCATGGTCGGGACTACAGGGGAATAAATGGGGCTCTGAAGCCCCCTCCACGCTAAGTTCAGTCTTTGTAGCGTCGGCCTCAGCGCCTGCGCAAAAGCTGAATCGTGCTGGTGGGCTGGCGTACGTAACGTGGTGGGAGAGCGAATTTGTGTGCGTGAAAGTACGTGTGAAGGGGAAGTGCTTCGCGTGGCAATATGTTCATTGGCAATATAGTTAGAGTCCATTGTATTACCAGGTCTGTTACAAAATGTACCATTACACATCCGCCTATCAATGTGATTTCAGCATGATGATTGTCCTGCATATTATGCAAAAGAATCACGACAAACATTACAGAGACAATTTCCGAATCGATGGATCGATCGCAGTCGAGAGTTTCCGTGGCCACCACATTCACCGGATCTTACGTCACTAGACATTTTCTTGTGGGGAACTTTAAAAGATAAAGTGTACTTTAACCCACCAACTACACCAGAAAATACGACACAAAGCATTCAAAAAGCGTGTGATGTACTTATTTTACAAACAATTGAAAATGCTGTTTCTTCATTAAGAAATAGATTGCATCGCTGTATTGAAGTTGAGGAGCATCAGTTCAAGCACCTATAGCTTCCAGATAGTAAAGTACGCGTTAAAAAGTATTTTGCAAATATTTCGTTAGCTATTAGGTTTAGTACGCATGAAACATGTCAACACATTTTTACTCAAAATTTGATACTTTATCGATCTATGGCACAAAAAGTAGGTCATTCCGTTAAAAAAATCAAGGTGACCTTGAAATCTCTAAAATGCCTCCACCCACAAAAAAATCACGTACCTTGTAGGCTGTGCCCTTTGATGCCACTTAAGTTTTACACCTCAAAATTTTCATGAATGTACCGTTAAGTCATAATTCGAGGTGATCAAGTTAACTGAGACACACTGTATTTTATAATACTTAATTCAACATAGGATCATTCCACGTGAAATCGGAAACTTTTTGGAGCACCATTTCAGATTTTGTTCAATTTTGGAAATGTTGTTGTCTTTAGCGATATATAAACGTATCTCAAAGGTTTTTTGAACATTTTTTAAATTGTTATTTTACAGCTGTTTGAAATTTAGGGTCAACCTTTTCTTTAATAAGTCATAACTATTGAACTAACAAACTAATTAAAATGACCTTTGTGGGTACTTACAGTGGAGACATGAGTGTACTAAATAAAAATTATTTCAGTTGAAAAAAATTTGTTTAACCGTTTATTTTGCAATTGGTTTAAATAAATGCCCCGTTTTTATACCGGCAAACTATTTAAAAATTTGAAAAAATGAGGATATAGTCCTATTTGTCCTGTTTATGGACATATCTTCAAACATATGGGCACTTTCAAATTCGCCGTATGAAAATTAATTGAAGTAAACGCTGCGTCTGCGTGCGGTATCACAGACGAGATATAAGAATACACCTAACATGCAAAGTAATTTTCTGTCCCATGCTTCGGGGGCATCAGAAGCCCCCGTACCATTTCAAAATTCCATTCTTCGCTAGAAAAACCGGAGCAATAATGTAGTTCCTGATATCGGAAACTTTTATGCAGAGGTGCGCTCGAACCAGCGTGACCGAATGGACACGTGCACATGATTTGACTGTACATAATAACAGTACTGACAAACAAAGACTAAGAAACCAAGAAACCCCACCCCTGGTAAGCTGAATACGTCTACGAACCAATAAAAGAAATGCAGGATGACTCAAAACACAGGTAGTAACAGAAAACTGTTTCCAGCAATTAATGTCATCCACAAAAGGGGAGAATTCAAAAACTATTAACAGTATTAGGTTTAAACGCTCAGTGTCGACCCCAGGTCGTTGACGTTCGGCGTTGATCGGTTCTTTTATTTGAAGCCGATTAAATTAAAGGTGGAAAATCCCTACTGCTGTCCCAATAGCATGATATTTGAGTTGTATCTGACTACAAGATGCAATATATTACAAATAAAAGCAGTTTGAAAATGAGTGAATCTTCAACATCATTTTTTAAGAGAACGGTTGAGTTCCGACCCATGGTTCCTTTCAGACTTTCTACCCTAACAATGAGTAGAATGTAATGCAATGATACCAAAATTTGACCTCCAAATTCAAGCTCAAGGTCAATTTTGCGGCAACGTTCTTACCTGTATTGCTTAACACGTGATTTCTTGACACCCTATACATAGTGTCACATAAATAAAATTACTTCTCCTCTAATATTTACCTTTCAGTTTCTTCTCCCGGAGCCGTAGATCTTGTAAATCGTAAACTGCTTTCGTTACTGGTTCGATGCTATTATGAACAGAAGCATTCAATTTTACATCATGCATTGTTTGTCCCAATACTTCGTTCCACGAAAATTGATTATGTTTTATGTTCTGCGTTCTATTATTTGATCTTGCCCGCTCTTTTTCATCGTTATGTGGCACAAACGAGAACTTTGTCAGACTTTCCATATCCATACTTTGAAGATAGTGCGAGTTCGTATCTTCTCTTGCTAAACTCGGCCGATGATGAAATATACCTAATTTCTGCATCAGTATGTTCATGAAAAAGTTAGATCTTGAAGAAAGCCATGTTCCCAAACTGGTAACCTGTTTCATTAATTTTTCAGATTTCTCCTTTGACCAATTGTACATGTAAAGTGTTATCTGCAACAATAATTTACAAAGTAACATAGTAGTAAAAAATAGAGACGAATTTACTTTTCAGATAACCAAGCATCACAGCCATATAGAAAATAGATGAATAACCGATAATCAGACTTTTCTGTATTAGAGTCTTCCGCCCTTTCAAGGACCCGAAATCCTGACCGAACCGACCGAAAGCGACACGAATCTATCATTCATCCTCATCATCATTGGTATGTTAAGACTTATTTGTATCTTTTATTTATAGGATTGTTAGAATATGTCTTTATTATTATTATAAACGAGAGTGATTTCCTATTTCTTCCGGTCCATATCCAAACCGTGTACTTCACCGGTAAGTTTAGACAGGGCGTGCTTTAGCACCTTAAAAGAGCCAGAACGCGAAATTATAAGTAGAGTAACGACCGCAACGCGGGACGTAACAACCCTTTTAATAAAATAGGAAATGATAAAGAATAAAATTCTCCGCGGGTATTCTAATTGAAAAAAATAATAGGTCAGTCGTGATCAGATTTTATGAATTGCGCTACGGTGCTATCTGTTCAGAGTACTTAAATTACATAATATATGATATTTACAAATTTTTATATTAAATGTCTCATAAACTATTAACTATCTGCGTGTAAAATCAACATCACTGGCTTCAATATTTCAAGTACTAGCTTGCTGTACAAGAAAAAGGAAATAAAGCAGAGAAGACGTTATCTAAATATTCATTAATTCAAATTAAATAATTGAAATACTTACGTTATCATTTCGAATTTCAGCAAGTAATAATCGTTGTCGCGACACAAAACTTGATTCCAGTATCAAAGGATTAAACTTTTGCAATACCTTTTGATCTACGGAAATAAAGATATAGATTAAGTAAACCGAAATGCATGTAGTGTAAAGAGCTGAAAAATACCTTAAAAATGAATAACATACTATCACTTAAATAATGTCGTAACTGTATAAGTAGTATGTACAATGGACTCTAACTATATTGCCAATGAACATATTGCCACGCGAGGCACTTCCCCTTCACACATACTTTCGAGCACACAAATTGGCTTTCCTACCACGTTGCGTACGCCGGCGCACCAGCACGATCTAACTTTTGTGCAGGCGCTAAGGCCGAGGCTACGACGATAGAACTTCGCATGGAGGGGGCTCTGAACTCGTTGCCATTTTACTCCCCTACAGCACCAACCATAGCAATATAGTTAGAGTCCACTGTACGTAAGTAATTATGTGTAGAAGCTAAATGTAATTGTAATATCTTTATAGTGGCGTCATTACGTATACAAACTGAATGAAATTATCATAACTTGTAACGCGTAGAAACTAAATACGTATTTGCATTCCTGACTTAGGTACCGATAGTAGTTGCTCCGCGGGCGCGCGAGTTTTAGTAGTCACTGCCGCGGTGACCCCTTGCGCTGCCCGCGGAGCAGTCAGGTCCGAGGGCTGGTACTGGGGGTACCATCCCTGTCGCGGTCGGCCCACACGGAGACAGCGTCGAGGAGTCACTACTCGACGTTGTAGGTAGGAGGAGGCGGGACGGCAAGACAACCGTCCCAGACGGGTGACAGCTCCCGCCCCAGAGAAGAGTTCCTCCCTCATCTGAGGGGCAGGGGGGGGGGCATGGGCGCAGCCGATTGCAGAAATGTGCTTCGACGTTCCCGTGGCCGGCCCTCACGCCCGAGAGGGTCACCGGGGGGATTTTAGTAGGTAAAAATCTCATATAGGCCGTCTCCGCCCCCAGCGGAGACGGTACACCTTTTGAAGGTTTTCCCTCCGTAAAAAAAAAGTACCGATAGTTATAATACACACTTTGTCGTTGATGGGGCGGGTGCAGAAACGGAAACGGGTATAAAAAGGGCAATGATGTCTCTACTCAGGGAAGATCAGGACTTCTGAGTCACTATTCCGACAGTGCGGACGTATGTTATTAGTAGCGATCATATAGTGTTTTAAAAGTCAAAACTAACCGACAGATATACAAGAGTGGCGAGGAGCACCACATCCAACGATCTTATGGGACAGAAGTACAGTAAGATCCTGGAATCCCCAAAGGCCCCTGACCACTGGATGCATTCCAAGCGTTCATTAAGAAAAAATAGGGACTCGTACTCTACCTAGTCAAGATGTGATTTATTTCATTGTCAGGCTCAAGAGCTTCAATAACAGTTCATTCAAAAGCAACACACTCGAAAGTATGGAAGTAGTAAATATACCCACACATAGTAGATTCGGAATTTTTCCCAACTGTTTCGACAAACATGTTCCACCCGACAACATAACTTCAATCGCCCCAAGAACTCAAGGGGCGTCTACTCCGCCACAGAACAATCACCAAATTAGAAACCTTCCCCTGTCTACGTACATTTAGGGTGACATAAAACTTGTTAAAATTATTGACACTCTAGGGAAAACCTACAGCAACAACTTTCACGCTAAGAATTGGAGTGGCTAACTGAAGATCAATTTTCACGAAACATTGGCCTTCTTAGAAGCAATCCCTAGCAACACCCATAATTTATCAATAGACTGCGGAGTTTATGCATTTATAGCCAACAGGGCTTTGTGGAATACAATTGAGGAAAAACTTTCGTCGGATGCAATATGTTTTTTACTTTATTCTGAACCCAATTTATTAGTCTAGAATATTATTAGTTTGTAACCATAGATCGAAAGCAACAATATTTGTATCACTGTCACTTCTGAAACCTGGTTAACCAACACAGATGCAGTTAACATTAACAACTTTAAGATTATTGGAGCAGACAAAGCCCACTCAGCGGCAAAGGCCGGGAGGGGGGGGGTATCATTAATAATCTACAGATCACTTCCATATGAAAACATACCCCCACCCTATACTTGAAGTACAGAAATCATTACGCTACAATTGGCGTCAAGTCCAAACTCAACATTATATAGAACAATTATATTTCCCCTTCCATACAACAACAAAATCATTCAAAACGACATTGACGCAATAACACAAGTCAATAATTCCAGATATTTTCGAGTTGGGGGGACCTAAACGCAAAATACCAACTGTGGAATAATATCCCATATAACAGAAACGGAAACCTCTTTAAAACACACTTGTAACACAATAACTATAAAATCGTTCATAGTAATATACAGGGTAGTCAACGCAACTTGATTACTCTGAATAACTTCTAAAGTATGCATTTTGTGAAAAAAACTTTTTAGAGAAAAGTTGTATGGTTTGGAGGGATACATTATGTAATACATATATTTTTTTCGTAAGTGGAGGCGTTTCGGAGATTTAAAGGTCAACTTCGTTTTTTCAAATGGAATGCTATATTTATTATGCCAAAATATCGAAGAGCGTTAAATTTTTAATAAAAAACTACTGACCTTTATTAGCCGTAATCCTAATAATTAACGAATAATTTCACTTTGTTTCTTGAAAATGGTCTGTGCGTAATATCCTAAAAATAAACCCTATCTAATCCAGAAATATCAGGACAATTTTACTCAGCGTGTAATCATAAACATATAACGTCTTACGTAAGTTCTACAAGTTAAAGGGAATTTACTGCCCAAGAACTGTAGAACTATTCACACAAGAGAAACTAGAGAAGAAGAAAGAAACAATTTAATCGTGGATTTTTTTTCACGTAAGTGACCTGCGTGACCCAAATGACGCAAACCTAGACTGGCAGATCTTGGCAGATCTCGGTAAAATAAATCACTAACAAGGTAACTTTGGACAAGTGTCCTGGGTGAACTGGGCTTTCACGGAGCCGATCTCTTAACACAGCAGCGTGTTCTTAAGTGGTCTCCCTACTGTGACGAGTCAAAAATTAGGTGAAATTCAGGAATTTTTTTAGAAAAAACTACGAGGTATATTGATGTTAAACTTTTTTCTATGAATTTGTATACACTAATACGATAAGCTAAATTCGTCATTTGAAAATATAGTACAGATTAAAAGTTATTGTAATTTTTCGGAACTGCTTAAAAAAAAGGTGCCCCCATGGCTACCAATATATCAGCTGTCTACGTTATCTCAAATTAAAACTTGGGAAAGATTCTGAATCTGTATGAACGTGACCATCGTCCGTACTAGAATGAATAAAAAATATTGAAAAATAACAAAATAGTGGGGTCTTACAAAAAAGTGCCGATTTTCGCGAAACAAGTAGCTCGGTTTTCAAGTTGCAAAATTCGAATTTTGCAAATATCAACTTGATTCTAGTACGGGAGAGAACTATGCACCTACTGAATATGCCTACATAGTTTCAAGTCACTCCGTCAAATGAGTTCTGAGATATCGTGGCAGCCATTTTAAAAAATGTTGTTTTGAGAAAAACACGTTTAAAGTTTCGATTTGAACCTGTATGCCGCGGCGCGCCGCTTTGGTTAAAGGCTAATAACTTCCTAATTCTTTCGAATCAGGCGAAATCCTTTTGGGATTATGGTTTTGAAATCCTAAGCCTTGAGAGAATGTAAAAATGAAAAAATCGATTTTTTTGGCCCATCACAATAGGAAGACCCCTTAAAGGGCTCTGCTAGTGTGACGGTTTCCAAAAATCGAATTTTTTTTGCAATTTGCAACAATTTTAAAACAGTACTTGAAAATTTGATCGCGCTTTTCTTTAAAGTACTTTTTCTTAATCGGCTGTCATGATAACTAAAAAACTAATTGATCGATTTAGTTCAAACTTGGCATATCTGTTCATCAGATGTGTCATTCTAGCCCTTACCACGATTTTTTCGATATATTAAAAATTAGAAATTTGCGGGTTAAAAAAACCAGCTATTTTTATGCAAATAAATTAAAGCTTTTGTTTGGCAAGGCGCCATTTTTTTATTTCTCAAAATTTTTAAATTATTCTGGTACGGGATATAACCACACACCTACAAATCAAGAAAGAATTTATTTTTATATTTCAGACAACCACGAGAATCTATATTACGGCAGCCATGGAAACAAAACTTCTTTAAGACGCCCTCACAAACGAACTGTAACTTTTGAAAAATGCATTGTTTTTACTTTATAAAAATATAACATACTTTACAAATATTATTTAGTAAATATATATATATTATTCAAATTGATATGTTCAATAGTTTTTCTTTACAAAATTCCCAAAAATTGCCTGATTATATAGCCGTCACACTAGCATAACCCCTTAAAGGTTTCAATCGTACTCTCGGTACCTGTCAGCCACCGTCGGCAGTGTCGGTACGCTGGCTAAATCCCTTCGACCCATGATACTGCAAACGTGTGTCACAAGCTTTACAATCATAGTTGTACCAGAAGAACGAAAAATGATAATTCTGTTTAAAAAAAAATGTATTTCAGTAACATGACGTTTCACGTGTATTTATTTTTTGGTCAGATCTGTCCTTTATTATCAAAAGATAGTGTTAAATTATTAAATTTAAAAAGTTTAACTGATCACCTGTTAAACATACTTTACCTTTTGGGGCAAATAATTCTAGTTCCACCTTTTCGTTGAAGGAAGCTTTCCATTGAGAAAAGTTTCTAGCAATTAAAATACAGTTTGTATATGTTTCTTGTTCGTCTCTACTAAAATCGCAAGGTATGTACAGAGGTAATTTTACATTATCTTCATTTTCTACAGTAGGGCAATCCGGACTGTTTTTTGTTGTTTCTTCATTTGAAACAAATTTCTCGATAAATGGCTGTTTATTTTTCAAAACAAAAGCTCTGCTAGTCGTATCTGACGCCTGGGATTGTATAAGGATTTCTAATTCTCTAACAATAGTAGGTATAGCATGCCTATGATTAATATTGACTACATGCTTCTTCACCGACGGAACTCCAATTTCTAATGCAAAACGAAGCCATTGAGATAATGTTACGCAATAAATAATACGTAATTTTTCTTCTTCGCCTGTTTCAAATTGATTGGTTAATAAATTTGGCCCAACTTTCTGTGACGTTTCCGTTTTAATTAGTGTCTCAGTGTTTTTGTCTTCCGTATGGATTTCTTGAGTATCATTTAGGAATGGTTCTGTTAAAGGAGTCGATAGTAACTTGTATTCAGTCACTAAATCCCAAATGGCATGTTTAACTGCAGAACACAGTTTTTGTAACAAAGCTTCGATGTTGACTCTACCTTGTTTCCAAATTTTGAATTCAATCAGAGGTGATGACGTTATTGATCTGTTATCAAAAATTGATGTTGAAACAATGTTTTCAAAATCCTCCTCTTTTATAGTTGCTGGCAAACTATTTTCCGGGAACTTATTATCCAATGGTTTCATGGATTCTCCGTCATCGCCTGTAACTGCTAGGGCTATGCAAGCAATTCCTTTGCTACCACTGGACTGGCTTTGATTGTATAAGAAAATATCAGATTCAGCAACCTGTTTCATAGAGCTTTCAAGCTGTGAATAATCTTGGAAATGATAATCTGCTCTATTGTCCGTGTACTTTGGCATATACAAGAACTGCTGTATATTCTGTCGCAAATAGAATTCCAAAGCACCAATGTATGGTATACAATGGTTTTCTACACACAACTGTATTATGCTTTCTGGCGATTTTGGTGGTTGTATAAAATGAACATCGGCCGGAGTTAATTTACACATTGGATTCCTAGCTAACATTATAGACAAAACTTCTAGTACCGCATCGTCTAGACGATTTTGCAAAACTTGTACCAAATCGCGCTTAACTTCTGGTCCTGCATCTGAAATTCCATGTACCATTAAGACAATCGAATCTTCAGTTCTACTTAAGATATTCGATTCTTTCTCACTGAAGGATCGAACTCTGGGTCTTGTATCAGTTGACATGATATTGTCGTTCAGCTTTGTCTGTGATAGTGACACTACGCTATTACTGCGGGAAACAACGAGTTTTTCATCACTTTCCGATAACTTGTTTTGTAAACATTTACCATCGCTTATTTGCTCATGAAGTCTTAAATAAAATACATTTTTATTATTTTCTTGATACACGAACATGTTACTGCGATTAGTCACGGCGAACCTAGTTAGAACGCCATGTAGTGCTTTTATACCCCGTGAGAGCCCTGACCTTCCAGGTCCAGTTTTTAAACGAGGATGTAGCCGAAAAGTAAATTCCCAAACTACACGACATCGGAACATTCCAGGAGTAAAGTTTTGCACTGAATCTTTATTCTGCACATTATTACTAATCTCGTGTGCTGTTTCCGATTTCCAGCTGTAGTCTTCATTTGTTTCAGTTTCTAATAGTTCCGAACATTTACTTGTCTTGTGAAGATTTTGTAAAAGTAAATACTGATTTACTCGACGACAAGTACTTCTTATTTGACAGATCAACGTTTTCTGCGTATGCCAATAACTGTTCACTTCTGCTGATGCAATTTCAAGGAATCTATTAATCACAATAAACATGTAAAACTGCCATCCTTAAATATTCTTTTATTTATCACGATACAAAAAAATTCTTCGGGAAAAAGTTAGTGTATTTTAGGGGGGAAATTAGGCTGTGAGATTGAAGGTCATCTCAAGGTCATGTCTTTTGAGATTTCTCTAATGATAACATTTTTTTAAATGGCATGTCCTATTTGTTTGTTTGCTATTAGAAAGACGAGATCAAAACGTATCCAACAATGTATTACACTGTGGGTTAACAACACTTTGAACATACACCAAAATAATAAATAATGCGATCATGGCGTTTATTTTGTTACTACAATTCATTTTCTGTCAGCTTCCACCTCAACCAGGTACGTGCGAAATATTCAGCCGAAGATCATTTCAAGATCATAGTGTGATACATTGTTGAATACGTTCTGATCTCCTGTTTGTAATGGCAAACAAAAAATAGGACATTCCATTTAAAAAAACCGTTACCATTAGAGAGAAATCTCAGAAGATATGACCTCGAGACGACCTTCAATTTCACAACCTAATTCCCCCCCTAAAATACACTAGCTTTCTCCCGAATCATTTTTTTGTACCGTGATAAATGAGAGAATAATTAAGGGTGGCAGAGTTAGGTGGACACCTTATATAACATAATTTTGCATTTACTCAGGACTCTTTCATTGCTTAAATTTTACAATTGACTTTATAAATATGTAAGATAGGCATAATTTCCTTAGTAGCTAATATCGTGCATTAGAATAAGGACATGGACATATCGAACTTTTAAAACAGCAAGTACTGACAAGAAATATGATTTAAATAATACGCCATTATTGTAATGAAATTCTTAAATGGGGAAGTCTTGAACAAATTACTGATGACAATATAAGTGAAATAATGAAAGTAGATTCTCGATTCTCATTAACTGTGCATTGTAGGAAATAGCTTTTAGACAACAATATTAATAATAAGTACAAAGAGGCAAATAACACTGTCCAACAAATTTTAACCTTGGTTCTATATTGCAATATCCACTGGATGGTCCCTATAGGGTTTCTCGTCCTAAACACGAATCCGCAAACAGAATTGCTTCATTACCCTCAGTTTTTGAAAAACACGAATTTTTGTAAAAACGCACGATTTTGGGCAAAAATGGCGTACCACATGAAAACTATAAATGCTAGAAATTTTAGTTTAGCCTTAAAAGATAGAGAAGAGTTTCCTGATTATATCAGTGTATACAGTTATTAAATTTTGTAATTTTTAATTGTTGTTACTGCATGACAAAATTTAACAAAGAGTCGCTGCGCGTACTTTCTATGCACTATTTATACATTTCTACGAACAGTTCTTTATCCAGCACAAATTCGCTACGCAGTATCGGATTCTGCAGACATTTTTGAAGAAGAAACCATCCAAAAAATGTATCGGAACGGATTTGTATTCGGATAGGTCGAGAAAATATCCCTTGGGAACGTGTGCGCTGCTTTTTGCTGCCACGCGGCCATTACTCGCCTGCCTCGGCGCATCAGCGCCGTAGCTACGCGTAACCGACACTGGTACTATGTACGAGGACAGCTTATTGACTGACTGTTGATTCACGATTATTGCTCAGGCGTCATCCCCACCACTAGTGGGGAAGGGGGGGGAGGCCGTGGAACCCGGCAAGCGCATACTTTGTTGTTTCGACGCGCCGAAACGGCTTCCCATTCACGAGCAGACGACTGAACGTTGGGAGTCCACAAAAAAGTTACATTCCCGGTGTCGGTGAGACAATACTAATGCAACGATAAAACTTTTTCATTTTTTGTTCTTTATTAATGAAATTTTTATGAACATATTGGTGAGATTTTTCTCATTACAGTGATACCAAACACGACGCAGTTTGGATCATATTTACTTATAATTTATCAGAAGCAATAACGAACAAATATGAACTGTTAACACTTTCTACATGAGTAAATATGATCCAAAATATGTCGTATTTGGTATCATTTTAATAAGAAAAATCTCACCAATATAGTAGTAAAAGTTTCATTAACACCGAATCGAAAATAACAAAGTCTCATCGTTACATTAGCGTCGTCTCACCGTGTTACGCAGCTTTTTACCAGCGTAACGCGACCACTTCAACTTCGAACGTGGAGCGTATTACGGATCGAACTGGACGGCCCTCTGCCCCAGAAAACACCGCTCACCACATGCACTCGAAGGCACGCGAGCCTCCTAGAGGAATCCCAAGAATTAGCGAACATTTGAATAGCGACTAACCGCGTCTTTTACCGCGCCGAGTACCTGCGCATAATTACAGGGCCGTGACGAACGTTAGGCGACACCCGACACCGTAACCGTTTTCCCCCACCCTGACTAGGAGCCGCCATTGGACATTGGAAATCGGCCGAATATTGGGACAAGGGGGTACTGCCGAACGTTACGGCCGATTACCGAAACCCGCGATTGAGCATTCAGTTGCGAGCGACATGACTATTAGGAGCGTTTGTGTTTATTTTCGAGTCACGAGTAACCTGTTCGCGAGTTGCGAGAACGAGGGAGTAGCGAAAACTCCGAACCGGTACATCTGTGAGCGGTAACCCATCCATTCTATCTCGCGTGAATCTGTGTTTGATTGCGGGAAAGTCGAACTAGAATTAACATCGGACAGCTTCTCACCTTCTATGAGAGGCTGCGAATTCCGAGCTGAGGTACCTCAAACCGTACCGTACCGCGCATACCATCGAGCGGAGGCGCCGTAACCGAATCACATGTTATCTAACTTGTATCTCGACGTGGATCGAACTTTCGGACGAATTTGTTATCGTTTGCCACCTATTGTCTCTTACTTCAAGGGTAGACGCGTGGCGTTAATAGACGTCTAAATTAACGCAAAACGATCTCAGTTCATTCGCGAACCGCCACCTGTCGTGAGGAGACTCTCCGCATCCTACTTGCGAACGTCGAACCTTGTGCGTGCTAGCAGGCAACCGCCACTCTCTTGTAGCCTCCACTCTTACAAAGTCTTGGAGGTATCGGAAGTAGAGATGGCGTGCAAAATCACTAACGGTGATTTATCACAGTGATCGCCGATTCACGATCACGGTCGTGATTTAACTTCATTCGCGACCGTGATTGCGATTTTTTTATCTTGAATGAATTTGCTCACTGCGCTCGTAAGTCCTTGATCTTTAAACAGAAAAACGTATTCAATATGATTTTACGATAATTACATTACTATTCGTGTTTGTAAAAATCAGTAGAAAAAACAAGAAATTCTAAAAAAATGATTTGCTAGGTAACATGTAGATTATAATTTATAATCATTAATTTATTTATTATTCTTCATTGTTTCTAATTATTTCTTCAGTTTATACGATATAACTCGAATTTTTGTTTTGATGTCGTTAATATAAAATATACAGATTATGTGTCGCGTCTAAAGAACTGTTAGGTTTCTCCACCAATCAGAAACGATCACGAGAAATCACGAATCACTGTGAAAAATCACAGTGATTGGAAACGAACGTGATCAAATCACGAGTGATTCACAAGTAGCAGTTCACGCCACCTCTAATCGGAAGTCCTACCCGATACCGGCACTCGGCGAGTGCCAGGCGTTCAACTTGCGCAGGCGCGAATAGTCGCGAAGGCCGAGAGAGGGGCTTTGCTCGGGGCGGACCACGGCCACACAGCTGACCGGGGCCCGAAAGCTAAATTCCGCGTAATAACCGATACCCGGGAATGTAATTTTTTGGGGGTCTTGTGAATTGTAAGCCGTCTGGACGCGGCTGGCAACAATGTATGCGTTCGATGGACTTGACGGACGGAGCGGGGGAATGTACAACGATTAGTCAAAGCGTTCAATCGTCAGCGACTGCCCACGGAGCTGCCGACGAATTAAATGTAGCTGGATCACCTTCAGTCACACGTATTTTTATTATTGGCCGAAACGGTTCACACACAATCGGACTGTGTGGTCGGCTATAATGTAACCATTATAGCCGATCTCTTTTTCAATCGCTTGTCCTTTTCTATGTTCGGAATACTACAGAGGCGAGTTGCTGAGGCTCGAGCTTCGGGCAAAAAACGTATTCACGAGGGTCGGAAGCGTTATGCGTAGTCCACGATTATTGTCCCGGCGCAGACCCGAGTTCGTGACAATAATTGCGAGGCCCCTGTGTGATCAAGAGGAATTCTTTACAATTTCGTGATTACTGTCCAAGAATACATGAAAAACATGAAACATTATACATACAAAAAGTAGTTGCTCATTAGTATTTTCTCGACCTATCCGAATACAAATCCGTTCCGATACATTTTTTGGATGGTTTCTTCTTGAAAAATGTCTGCAAAATCCGATACTACGTAGCGAATTTATGCTGGATAAAGAACTTTCGTAAAAATGTATAAATAGTGTGTAGAAAGTACGCGCAGCTACTTTTTTTTAAACTTTGTCATGCAGTAACAACAATTAAAAATTGCAAAATTTAATAACTGTATATACTGATATAATCAGGAAACCCTTCTCTATCTTTTGAGGTTAAACTAAATTTTCTAGCATTTGTAGTTTTCACGTCATACGCAATTTTTCCCCAAAATCGTGCGTTTTTACAAAAATTCGTGTTTTTCAAAAACTGAGGGTGCTAGAACAATTCGACTTGCGGATTCGTGTTTAGGACGAGAAACTCTATAAGGATCACCCAATGGATATTGCAAAACAGAACCAAGGTTAAAATTTGTTGGACAGTATAATCAATGTATAAGTACCGTGAACTTTAAGCAATAAATGCAGCTTGAATAACATTGATAGAAATATGTATTCGACTTATAGCTAAAATTTAAAATATTACTCACCTACAGTGAAAGTAAACATTGACGTAATCACTTTCTACTTTCAAGATTAACCAGAAATTTGGTAAGAAACTTTCACGATTATCAAGATCTTTCAACCATTTAAAGCATATTCCAGAACTATATTGTCCTTCACATTCATCATTTAGTTCGGACATTTTTGTCACCTTAGAACCTTTAAAATCATAATTTGATAAAAACTCATTTTTAACATGAGTTTTAGAATCGTTTTCAGCATCGCTACTGTTGTGTGATATTTTCTTCTCGATAAAGTCCATAGTATTACCTTAAATAAATAATTTAACTAATAACATATGTAAATAATATATATATATACATATATCGCCAGACTGAAACTCGCAAGTACGAAACAGTGGTTAAATGAAAAAAATATAGAAACATTAATGTCACCATCAAGGTTTCCTGGCTTTAACCAAATAGAAAATTTACGGGGACAACTGATACATGATGTTTATGAAGATTGGCGCCAATTCAACGGTATAAATGACCTCCAAATGGCAGTAGTTCGAGAGCGAGGGATACAAAACTTGGGTGTGTGTTGTAGGTGTAGATGCTTAACACTAGGTTTACGGGACGCGTCATTTTGACGCATTTCGAATGCTTTCTAACCTCGAAATTCTCTATGTGGTATACCTATCTCTATAGCTATGCATTAATTTCAGAGATCATAAATTGTGTATTATATAAAATAAGTTGTGTTTTAAAGAAAATCTGCGGGTTCGTTGATGCGTGCCGTGGAGATACCTACACGATAAGTGCCCGTAAACCTAGTGTTAAGAGAGGGCAAAATGCGTGGTTTCGGGGCAGTCTGTCGGATGAAAGTCGAGTTGTCAGTCGTTGTCGTAGATTAGTCGTTTGTCGTGTGTTGTAATTTAGTCGTTTTGTTGTTTTGTTGTTTTATGTTATAGTTTTATATTAAATATAGTTCTTATTGTTATTATTTGTTGTGTGTCAACTGTTTTATCACCCGCGTCCGTATAAAATCCCTACATTATTTCGTTATAACTTTGCTAAGAAGCAACGCAGCTGAAATCTTGAAAAGGAATCTGAAAGTAGAGATTCCGCACTCTCAAACGATTTGTTACTTATATCGATACAACCATTTTTGTCGGAGTTATGACCATTTGAAGTTTGCCCCATTTTTCGGGTTCGAAGAGGTGATCCGTTAATGTTGTGCAGAGTTTAGTACACATATGTATAAATGTATGGATCATTCCGCACCAAATCGATCACTTTTTGCACTTGATTTCAGATATCTTGTTCAAACGGAAATATGTTGTAATCCCTGTGAAATTGGTATCGTGTTTGTTTAAAAAATACTTAGCTAAAAAATAATAAGTTTTCGTCAAACCGGGGTGTATTTATGAACAAACTACATCTCACCAAACATAAGTTTAGTTATTAATATCTGTAGAAACAGGAAAAAAGTTTCTTCGCCGGGCCCCAGACCTCATCGTGTATGTGTGTTGTGTTTAGTGGGATGTTGGGTGCGTGGTATAACAATTATTCAATAAATAAATACCTGAAAAAAATCATGTCATTTGAAACATATTTTCCTGAATATCTCGGAAACTAAAGCTGAGCGGCGATAACATGTATAGTGAAAATTTGTTCAGAATGATGACCTTGACATATTTCAAGGTCATCCAAATCGGTGAGGAGTTCCCTATTGTGAATAATTCCCAAAAATTATTGTAGCAATGGTGAATATACAAAAAAATTTCTTCCTTACCTAAAAAAAATTCTGTGGAAACTTGTTTATAACAAAAACAATTTTTCTAGCAAAGAGTATAGCAGGATAAGGAGGTCAAAATTGCCCTTAGACTGATTTTGGTCTATGATACACCATTCAGTCGCTTATAAAAAAAACCTGTACCAAGTTTCAACCCTCTATCTCAACCAAAACGACAAGTAATTTTAAAACAAAGTTCATACATGTATTTAGCATTGAAAAAGATAAATAATGCTATAATTAACAAAGTACCTCGAAAGAGAAACGGCGAAATAGCAAAGCAGACTCAGGACGTTATGTATAATCTTTTCCACAATCCACCCAAGATTATTAAAGATAAAAGATTTTGAAACCAAATACCTGTATTCATTTAATGTAGCAAATGTTAAACAGTAGTGGAATTGAGAGAATATGAGATTAGAGATACGGTGCAATAAAAAGTGCTTCAAAATTATTTTTGCAAATATTTTAGGGTAAAATATTTAAAAAATATTTTTGAAATGTTTTCAAATAAATACAATCCATTGTCATTTAATTAGAAATGAAAAAAGTATATAATTATTGAAAAAAAAACATATTGCGTACAGGCGTAGTTGGATACCATGTCCAAAAACACTTCAGCGGTTTCGCAGTTGGACGCTTCACCACTGTGCCATCGGTGGTCTTGGCAACAGGGTAAATATTTTTGCATATAACGTGCACAGCATAGTCCTAATTACTTAAGTGAATTTAGTTTCTGTAATTCATACATCGCTTTCCTGAATGTAAAAATACTTAAACTAGGATAATATACTTAATAAAGAAGTTCAAAGTACTTTTTCATTTACTTTAAAAGTACGGCGCACCCTATCAAAAAATCTCCAAAAAATTCAGGACAATACTTATGATAATATATCGTTACTATAATTACATAAAAGTGGTCGCGCTAAGATTGATATAAGAAAAAAAAATTTTCCTTTTCTTTTCCGTTTTTAATTTTCCATAACTAAGGTTCGCAACTAAAAAATTACCAAAAAATCTCAATTACGTGCCCCAGTGAGCACTATCTATCTGATTTTTCACAGAATTTTTACGTACCATTAAATTGGGAAAATAGAAGGAAACCCGGTAATCCGAATTTTTCCTGTTGTTACCCTCCTGGATGAGATAGAGGGTTGAAACTTGGCACAGACTATTTTTTCTTAATAAGCTATCGAATGGTATATTACAAATCAAAATCGGTCTAAGGGCACTTTTGACCCCATTATCCTGCTATACCCAATTTGCAGAAGAAAAATCTGTTTATAATTTTTCATGTTATAAAAATGATTTTTCAATTTAAACAAAATTTATTCAAATAGGCGAAACCTTCTAAATTGAAATAAAGAAAGAGTGGCCTCAACACAATAAAAAGTTTCCGAGATAAAAATTCATAAGTTCACCCCGGTTTCACGAAAATAAGCAAACACTGCAAACTTCGGCGGCCTGTACTTTTTAAATAAACACAACACCAACAAAATGATGATTGGGGACTACATCATATTTCATTTTGAACAAGATCCCTGATATCGAGTGTAAAAAGAAATCGATTTGGCGTGGAATAACCCATGTACAGGGTGAGTCACACAATGTTAGCACCTCAAATATCTTTGTTGTTTTTAAAGATACGTCAAATGTTTTAAAAATAAAGTTGAATAGTTCAATGGGGCTCCCATGATGACAAAAAATTGTTTGTTTTTATGTCATTTGTTTTTTAGAGATATCAAGATCACCTCCATTTTTTTAAACGGTCTGTGTCTGTCTTTTTTGTAATATTCACTGAATTCCTAATGAAAGGGACTATCATTGTAGGTGTTTAAAAAAGGGTGATTTCATTTAAAAATATGATGGTGACCTTTATATCGCTACAAAAAATGACATAAAAACAAAAATTGTTTTGGTATCGTGTGAGTCCCATTGAACCATCAACTTTGTCCTTAGGACATTTGACGTATCTTCAAAAACAACAAAGATATCTGAGGTGCAAACGTTAGGTGACTCATCCTGTATATGCATGTATGTCTAATAGCAATACTATTTGTATCATAGTTATGTATACGTTATGCTGTAAGCACTTTTCCGAAAAAACACTACTTGTTCGTAGTAGTACATACCATATTTGATTTTTGCTTCTTCTTTGTCACTGCTCATATCCTGTTGTATTACAGCAGCCGATACATGGTGCACATTTTTTACAAAATAAAAAAAGGTCCCTTCTTGTTGAATACGATATTTGTCAATTTCAATTTTTTTCAATTCATTTAGAAATTTTGGTTTGCTATCCTCTGAAGGAAAAACAAAGTACAGAGGGACCTTTTCTAATTTACAGCTAAACCTATCTGTTGATTCTAAAACGTGATTTGCTACGAATTTCAGAACATCCTCATTTACAAAGGGTCGATCTAAGAATGCGGTTGCAGTTTCGTCTTGTAAAAGCCATTCAATTTCATCTTTCAAATTATTTATTGCATTATGATGATTTAAGGAAAGATGTGATATTTTTTCTTTAAAAAATTCACTTTTAGTGTTATTTTCCGAACTACTTCCACTGTCTGTTTCCATACTACCAGTCGGAGAACCGCTACAGAAAGATGTTGTTCGTAAACCAGAGTAACGTTCTAAAGTTATTTCTAATACTTCTCTTGGAAGATTTAAACAGATGATGTCCAGAGTGATGTTCAAATCAGATGGGCTTAAATCTGTGACATTACTATCTTTGTACTCTTCCATTTTTTGTAAAATTTCCATAAAGCAGGTAGGGAGAGATTTAATTGGAACACTGCTGAGTCCAGATCTAGACTGAAATCGAACAGAACAACTTAATTGCAAAAAAAGAGGTTCTTCCTGCTCGCCAATATTGTCTTCTTGTAAGTCGTTCGACAGGTATTCCGTAGAGTCATAATTTGACATATTTGACATGCTATGGGTGGGTCTAACTGGCCACGTAAGATTTTCTCGCTGCACTGTAAACAAGATAATTATATGACTTATTAGATTCTATATTAAACACAGCATATTCGTAACCGATAGTACAATCAGAAAAGCGGGTATACGTATGATAAGTTGCAATAAGTTGAAAGTATTGGTTTGTATTTCAAAAGACAACAAATGTATTATACAGGGTGTAACAAAAATGTTGGAGGACCTGGAAATGGTAAACTCGTAAGGTGATTTGAAACAAGTTTTTCCTTAGCAAAAATGTTATCGGAGGTTTTGTTAACGCAATATTAACGAAAAACTCCGACCAATCAGAGCGCAAGACTGCCGGCCGAGTTTCCGCGGTAGCATTGGCTACTAATCGCAGCACGTAACTACAGTTTCTGTGTGTGAAAATGATTATTAATCCGATGAACGTGAACAATTTGTTAATACTAACATTTCAAATAATGTACTTGTTGGAAACTCCTGTAATAAATGAGGATATACAATTGCGAGAATCAATACAGAAAATGTTGCGTAATAGTTTAGAGTTATCATTGGACTTTCTGTATCAGTTTATCGAGTATCAAGTTGAAGGTATTGATGAAGATGATGAAAGTGAAAATTGGCCTAAAGAAACATATGCAGGAGTTTGTTCACAGCGTGACGAAGATGTTGATGTTGAGTGTAAGGTGCATACTAAATGCATACTTTAGAAGTTATTCAGGGTGAACAAATTGCGTGGACCATCCTGTATTTTATATTTGAGAATAATTCGACAATGGGCGTTGATAGCATATAAGGAACAGGGTAATGATAGCATGGTATTTGTCAGATAATGTCGTACAATCCATCCTGTGAAAGTGATCAACATTTTTATTACTACTCTGTGTACTAAACATAATAAAATAAACATTTTTTTTTCATATCTTCAAATATACAGAGTGTATCAAAAAGATGGGACAATACGCAATATGGATATTCCTCATGCAAATACAATGGAAAAGTGCTTTACCATTTTGTAATTTGAAGCTCCGTTTCCGAGATATTAGCAATTAAACGAATTCACACGTACGCGCGGACACAATCAAAAAGCGTACGACCTAAATCAGAGGCCAACCGCTCAGCTGATCGTTAAGGCAGGTCCAAATCTGTACAACAGTGAGCACGAACACGCGCAACACGGCGCGCGGCCAAAATCCCGTCCACATTTAAGCAACATGCAACAGAATTTCCACTCAAGACCCTCAAGAAGGATCACACGGCTATCGCGCGTACAAGAATGTTCGGCGCGCATCGTCCACGAAATTGGAAGGAGCTTTCCTATTTTTCTTGAATTAAACCATCTGTAGTGAAAAATAAACCGCTGAATGGATGAATAACACGTATATAGAATGTTCATGTACCAAATAGTAAGAATATGTGTCCTGTTTCCCTGAATATGTATTAAGAAAATAGTATAAATATAATATATATTTATACATAAAGGTTTTCATTGTTATAGAATGTAATCATATTATTGAGAATATGTTGAGAGATTATATGTATGGTCATATATGACAGCCACATACTCTGTTATCACTTGCTTTATGACGTGTTACTATACCTACGTGTACATAACTTTGTTCGAATGCACATTTTCATGCATTTACTTGTTAACACAAAACTTCAGGTCGTTGGTCAATTTTATTATTGAAGGAATAGTCAGGTAGAGAATCGGCAAGAAAAGGCGCAGCAGTCATCGCCTCTACTTACTGTTCCTTCGGTAATTAAATTACCCAGTTATCTGAAGCTTCGTTTTGAAGGTAAATGTACGAAAAGAAGGAATGCCCCGTCCACGGTTTATGTAGTTAGGTTTATAAAAGTACTTGGTTTTTCTATAATTAGATAAAATTCTTGTCGGATCGGGACATGCCTCGACGCCAATTTCATACAATGGAAGTAAGTAGTAATATTTATAATAATTTATAATATTTTCGTAAATAAAGTATATACAGGGTGAGTCTCTCGCTGCACAAAATAAAAGGCCGCTCTAAACAACCGCGCTATTAAAACCGTGTCGACGCATGTAAATCTATCAACTGTCGATGGTGGAGGGGGTCACAGTCGTCTCCGCTCGAGCGATATCGCCCCTGTACAATCGACATTGAGGGCCCGTTGACCGATTTACACGCGTCATATGATTTTCTACGATGCGCGTCAGAATGCTCGTGTTCGGCTTAACGTTGCACGAAGTCGTTAGCTGCGCGTCGAGCCATTAAAATCGACCCTTCAAGCGTGTTCTGCAACTCGCGTTGCAGAAGCGTGGGTTTACCTTTAGCTGTTAAGTCGAGTTCGTTTAACTGCTAATATCTCGGAATTGAAGCTTCAGATTACAAAACGGTAAAGGACTTTTTGATTTGTATTTGCATGAAGAATATCCATGTTGTGGGTTGTTCCATATTTTTTTGGACACCTTGTATATTAACAACCCACAGATCGACTGTTCACGCTATGTGTTATGGTTTTCTTTTACAAAAATCCAAACTACAATGTACCCTAAACGCTTTTGTGAACTGTGGGACACATACGTATATCCCACTTAAGTACTTGAAGAGAAACTGATCTCTCAATTAGATTAGGTAAAGATCAAATTCCTGAAGACAGTAATTTATGGTAGCCGTGGACCAGAGTTAGAGAAATTGTATTCCGAGCAACGAATATTGAATAACGATTTTATTCGCCGGATAATTATCCCTTATTCCCGAATAAGTTTAAAGAGTTATTCGAATACGATTTTATTCGTTATTCGACCTCACTGAAAGACGAATAAACGTGACTCCCGACTTCTATCGAAGGATTATCGTGCAAGTTGAACATGACTGAATTTTTTTGATGACATGGAAACGGCCGGGCTGAGACATCGCAGAAGTATTATCCTACATCTTCAGCTCACTTCCTATTTCGTTTTTACTCGCTGTCATTTTTTATAGCTGACAAAACTTCTGTGGCTCATTCGAAATGTTGCGAATCGTGATACGATGCAACTGCAGAAACAGAGTACATGTATTAGATACTACCTTCGGAATCGCAGCCATATAGAATAAATATATTTTTTTATAATTTATGTGGTTATTGTTTCGTGTAATCCGAAACTAACTATGAATTACATATTACATATGTTGTAGCACACATATCGGTAAAGATTCGAGCTCAACCGACTGTCACTGTGCTAATAGCAGGGCTGACGGAATGCAAGTACTAAGAACGCATAAGTAGCCTATGCGAGGCATAGGGCCGGGGCCAAGGGTGCCAATGGCAGCGGCACCTCGTACATAAAAGGAGAATTTTTTATTTTCACTAAGCGGTTCTTCAAGAAATCTACAATATATTGTTTATAAACCAAGAAGAAACAAATAATTCTGGGGTGCCATATAAATTCTTGCATAAGACCGCCAAGTATCTTAGTGCCGACCCTGGTTCATAGTGTCGTTGAGGGTCAGATTTGACTTCGGCACCGTCCTTCCGCGGTTCGTACTTCGAGGTTCCAGTAATTTTCGAAAATATGGGTCCTCCAATGTTCGTAACCTAATTAGGTGTCACCTGCCACCATACATCGTAGAAATTACGTGATCATTTTATTCGTCTGTGAGTTGAATAACTTTTATTCGAATAAAAAATGATTCATTATTATGGAATGATTTAATTTTGTTTGAATTTTGTATTGGAAGATTATTTAAATAAAAATTTATTCGCACAAATTTATTCGAATACTTATTCGAATAAAAAAGTCGAATAATGTCCAACTCTGGCCGTGGACGATCCGATAGTGGGAGATGGTTCTTGTCTATAAAGAGACAAGCTGGACAGCACAGGTTTACTCGAAGCTTTCGAATAAGAGATTGTGGGCGATAGAAAGCAGCAGCAGCCATTTTTGTTGTTTGTGTACATTATATAAATTTGGAGAGGAAGAATCGTCGACGGTCCGGGTAGCTCAGTGATAAGAACAGTGAGATAAAAAATGTGAAAAATCCCAAGTTTGATTCCCAGCCCGGTACCCGGACGGCCGATTCTTTTTCCCTTACTAGATTAAGATGAAAACTTTATTCGACGCCACGGATGAGAGCTCTTCAAATAAAAGATTTATTTTTCTTCGTTCGATAAATTCTCATCGGATAAACTGATTTATTCGTTGCTCGTTGAGTAAAGATAACCTAGCCATTCGAACTTTTGAATGACGAATAAAATTTTTGACTCGTTATTCGAAATTTTTATTTAGATAAAGATTTTGCCTATCCCTGGCTTGCAGGCCACGAGTTAGACACCCCTGTCCCAAGTAGCTTTTTCATGTGACCACAAATAACGGAGATATTTAAATTTTCTCATTTAAATGTCCCAACCTACGTAATCTAGTTTTTAGAAATTAAAATTGCTATTCTAACTATTTTTAAACGCTTTTAAAGTTTATATTATTACGTACCTTTTTTACGGTGCATATGTAACTCGGAATGAACATTTACTGAATGAAAGATCACATTTCCTATTTCCTCATCGCTATCTGATTTTTGAAATTCAAATAAATCCTGGAAATTAAAACCCTTATTCGTTTCATTCATATCCAATATTGTCGCCATATTATAATATTTAAGCAAGAACGTACCATTTTATTTCCTATCCAAAATGGTGAACAATAATAAAATTCAGGATGTGCAGGTACTGGTCTAAATGCAACTGTCATTATTCTCTCAAATTTTTCCTTAATTAAATTGTGTAATGGTTCAACATCTTTGCATGAAGAATGTTTCAACTGATCCAATAAATCTTTTTCCGATAATTTGCTTAAATGTCTGCATACGCATCGTAAATAATTTGTAATGTTAATCTCAATTAGGGTTTCTTCACATTGTTCTACGGCGGCTTCCATATCTTCGTAACTGAGTGGCAGTTGTAGCACTAGTGATTTATAAACGGCAACAACGTAGCAATGACAGTGTGCCAAACTCACCAGTTTACAATGTTCCAAGAGGCTTCGTTGGTCTGTAACAGAAAAAATGTATAAATATTATAATATAAGTACCGTGTGTCCCACCTAACTGTGCCACTTAATTAGGTAATTATGCATCAAGATGGCAACCTCATGTATGACCTTGATCTCAACATATGTTGTCAAGGTCATTGTCCTGTACAATCTTGACGATGAAAAAATTGGCGGTCATGATCCGTTCAAAAGTTATGAACCGTTAATATAATGCCAATGTTTCGACCGAAGCTCTGTTTACATACCTCTGACGACCTACATTCTTGTTGTAAAACGGCATTATAATTATAACGATCGCATAGAAGCGTTCTTTCGTGCAATGGCGGCGATGTATCCCATTGTACAGGACAATTATGTTCAAATGTTGGAATAAGTTGTATACATTAATAATAAATAAGGAAACACGTTTGAAAGTGTGATGGGACTAGGTAGGAGACTAGATTCGCTAGCGGGGAGGAGATTTGAGGAGGAGAGGCTCCCGCCCCTCCCCCAAAACAATAGACGAGTTTCTACTTGAGGTGGTGTACCTAACACTGATTGATCTTGGAAAGAGCGAATTTACATTTTAGAAGACTTGTCAACTGTTTGTGTTTTTTCAGCAGACTGGCAGTGTGGCCGCCTGGGGCTGCCGAACCTCCCCCAAACTCCCTCGTCGCTTATGAGTCTAGCCTCAGACCTACTCCGATCACCCTTTCAAATATGTATCTTCTGTTATACGGTATATGGAAACTTTGACGGTTTATAACTTTTGAATAGATCATGACCACCAATGTTTTCAAGGTCAAGGTTACTTAGGACGATGACCTTAACAACATATGTCAAGGTCAAGGTCATATATGAGGTTGCCCTCTTTATGCATAATTACTGTTAATATTCTCTTATTTGTCACGGTACAAAAAAATGGTTCAGGAGAAAGTTAGTGTATTGTAGGGGAGAAATTAGGCTATGAGATTGAAGGTCGTCTCAAGGTCATATCTTCCAAGATTTCTCTAATGGTAACGTTTTTTTTTAAATAGAATGCCTTAGTTTTTTGTATGCCATTGCAAAGAGGAGATCAAAACATATCTAACAATGTATCTCACTATGGGGTGACAACACTTTGAACATACACTAAAATAATAAATAATGCGATTATGGCGTTTATTTTGTTTTTACAATTCATTTTCTGTGAGCTTCCAGCTTAACCAGTCACATGCGAAATTTTCAGTCCAAGGCATATGAAGGGTAGAACAATGTTCTTAATTCGAAAATGGAATTTGATATTGAAACTATCTGAATTATTAAAACCATGTTGATAGTAAATTAAAATTAATATGAGCAATTTATTTAAAAAAATGTTAAAAATACGTAACACACATATCGCATAAATGAAATATAATAACAAATTTTGCTTACCACTAGTGGTGTTATCGGAATCCTCACTTTTTAATTCCGGAGATGAAGGTTTCGAGTTAGAATTAAATTTTAATTCAATAAACTGTTTGCCCTCTTGTTGACCAAGTCGAAATGTATGATCTTGATATATGTCTTTATTATGTGACATCTTTAGTTTGTCTGTTAAAGTGTCGATCAACGAGGCTAGCGAACAGTCGTAAACATAAACAGGAATAACAAGATTTTCTTCAAGAAACTTTCCTTCGTCATCTGCATTCGACAAAATATCATTTATGTGAATCGGAATATGTACGAATATTTTTATTACAATAAATATAAAATTTACCGGACATATCATTATTCTCAAAATCATTACTTCTGACACAATCCTCCGTGTATGAAGGTGACATGAATAGACGTACATCTTTTTCGGATGCTGGTAAAACTGTGACAATCACATGGGTTGTACTTATTCCTTTTATAAAACATTTCCAACGTGGATAAGAGTACTGCTCATTGTAATGTAAATATCCATCTGAAAATGGTATTGAGATTAGTAAATGTATTGTGTTACTCTACCAGATAAACGCATGTGTGCACATCAAACAACATGAAAAATGTAACACAGGCAAGATGTCAAGAAATTATATGTCGCGGATAATATAGAATAAAAAATAAAGTTAAAGATGCAAAATCTCTACTGTACTGATATATGTATTATAACTAAAAACAGTTTAAAAATGAATCCAACTTTAACATCATTTTTCAAGAAAACGGTTGAGTTCCGATCAATGGTTCATTTCAGATTTTTTATCCTCTCGATGAGTAGAATATAATGCAATGATAAAAAAAGTTGACCTTGACATTCATGGTCCAGGTCATTTTGTGGCAGCATTCTTACCTGAACTGCCACCAAACCGAAGGTGTAAAATCCGGCTATAGTAACCGCGACTTGTAATTTCTTGATACCGTGTACATACTGAACTGACAGTAAAAAAAGTACTACCTTTTACTGAAAAAAATGGTAAATGAGGACCACCGTCTCGAGGTCTATTAAGAAGCATCATCGTGAACTTTTGGGATTCGGCGGACGTTAATAAAAGCTCCTTATTATGCAACTGTTTTATACGCTCCAAAAAATTATCCATCAAGATTTTGTTCGCACGCCCTTTACTTCCGTTCTCCATAGTAGAACCTTAAAATAATTATACATTCTCATTTAGTTCTTTATGTATGGCCACAACGCATGATGTAATAATTCCTACATAATACAATTATTGAACTAAGTCCGTTTACAAAGTATTACACAGGGTGTCTCAAAAATGTCTCTCTTCCGGGAACTGAGGGGTTGCTGGGATGATTTGAAACCACTTTTTCCTTAGCGAAAATGTTATCTACGGTTTTGTTAACGAGATATTAACGAAAAACCCCGACCAATCAGAGCGCGAGTTTGCCAGTCAAGCTTTCGCGCTAGCGGTAGCTACGCGCTACGCTTGTACTATGAAACTCCGAACAAGCAAGTCGGCATGCATCTCAGGAAACTGCGTATCATAGCAAATAAGAAAAACATAACAAATCGAACTTTTGGTGCTCGGACAGGGCCAAGCTGCGTCAACTCAACATGTGTCCGTGAAATTTTTTTTCCTGCTCCTCGAGGATAACGTAGTTTCTGCTTTCTATCTTCAAGCAATGGGTATCCTGGCAATAAATTAACGGAGCCCCCGTTTCAGTGAAACTGCACGACGGTTCGGTCGTTGCACTTCTGCAAAGCACGTGTGTTCCTAGAACTCTGGTTTCTTTTTATCTAAATCTTGTTGCCACGGTGGGAGTGAACTCACAATGTAACGATAAGAAACTGCTTGGGGGTAGAGGAAGCCCTTTCGGAAAAATTCTGTCAGTCGGTTAGCAATCGGGCGACAGAGATGTTCAGTTCACGGGAGTATTACGAAATGTTCTGGTGGTACGCACAGAATAACGGACATGCAGGAACCTAATGTAGGAACAACACGTTCGATTGAAAATACATCAAGTGATCGTGTTGGCTGATCAGTGTTAGTGGTCGTGCAGTGAAGTGAATATGTATTCGATGGAATAACCCGCACGCACGTGACGTTACAACCCTTACCTTCGGCTGGTGAGGTATTCCTGCGATCACCTGCGGATTGGGCAATATCCTGCCATAAACCGTTTAGGTCGTCGATGGCCAGGATCGGTACAGTGACCTACTGACACAAGTCTGCAAGCTGCAGGTGAATTTCCGCAAGGGTGAGTTCTATTCAATTTATTGTTGATTATTATTTTTTAATTTAACGCAAGCTACATATGACGTTTTCCCGGAAATAATTCTGCAAGTTCCCGCACCTACATTTTTCTTTGGGCTTTTTAAAGATTCTGTTTAAGAAAATACTTGTGTATTCGTCTTTTTATGTTACACATGATTTTCTTACATTTATGTTTCATTCACTCATCACTTTAAATGACAAACGGAAGATGATAAAATGTTCGATTTGTTATATTTTTCTTATATGCTAGTATACGCGGTTTCCTGGGATGCATGCCGACTTGCTTGTTTGGAGCTTCATAGTACAAGCGTAGCGCGTAGCCACCGCCGCTAGCGCGGGAACTCGGCTGGCAAACTCGCGCTCTGATTGGTCGGGGTTTTTCGTTAATATCTCGTTAACAAAGCCGCAGATAACATTTTCGCTAAGGAAAAACTGGTTTCAAATCATCCCAGCAACCCCTCATTTCCCGAAAGAGAGACATTTTTGAGACACCCTGTATATGTATAGATTCTCACGAACAAAATTATAATAATTTTAATATTTTGTTAAATATCCCTTTTATCTAATAACATGTTCTAGAAATGTCGGCATATTTGAAATGATTTTAAGCAAATAATTTTGAGTAATACATCTCTACTCTTCTATTAGTCGTTTTTGTAATTCTTCGTTTGTTCTTATGGGTGTCGTCTGAATGTTACGATCTAATAAATCCCATAAAGTATTTATTAGATTTAAATCCGGTACCTGTGGCAGAGGATGGAGCACTTTCGAGTAATTATACAGGGTGTTCCACTTAATACAGGCCACCTAAATATCTTCCCTAACTGTGATCATACGAGAAATATTTTTCACGCGATGTAAATGATTTCAAGAGAGGAATCAGATTGTGAAAATTTATATACGTGAATTTAAAATTCTGAAAGTAAATTTTAAATTTTTAGCGTTCAAGGTCATTTTAAGGTGATATTATTATACATGGATAAATGCAGAATAATGTTAGCTGTAGCATATAACAAGAAAAAAGATGTACGTAAAGAAACATTGGTGATCTTGTAAAAATCATTCAAAGATGACACTCATTAAAAATTTTTTCCGCTATCCAATTTGTCTCTTGAAACCATTTAAATTAGATAAAAAATATTTCTCATATGATCACAGATAGAGGAGATATTTGGGTGGCTCGTTTTAAGCGGAACACCGTGTATAATAAATATAGGATTGTTCTCTTGGTAGAACTTGAAACTGTTATGTATATCCATATTCGTTATACATTTCCTTAGATTTTGTTTTAACATGTTTGGACATAAAATTATTATTTAGAAATTTATATTTGGATATAAATACAAGTCCATCAATAAAAACTAACCCATATCATCAAGCCTCTGTCACCGTGTTTCCCCATCAGTTTGATATTATTATTATATTTGGAATTGCTCATTCGGTTTACGCCACGCTAATTTTTGTCTGTTAGATGCAGAAACATGAAACTGATTTTTATCCACAAAGATCACAACACTCCGCAATGACTGTGTTTTAAAAATAAATTCTTTAGCGAATGTTAAACGTTTCTTTAGATGGATATGGTTGATGTATGGCTTTTTACAAGCCACCCTACCATTATAGCTAACTTTTGTAAAATCACTGCGAACTGTATCCACATGTAGTTTCTTTCCAAATTCTTGAAACTGTATTAAATTCTGCATTTAAATTAGGAGCTTTTAATCCTGGATTGATCTTTACTTTTCGAATAATTTTACGCTTATCATGACATGAATGTACAAAAATGAATTATAATTATAAACAGCTAATTATTGATAAAAAATTATTCACTATGGTGCGTTACACTGAACAATCATAAGGAGTCTACGGACTGACCTTGTAAAGCGAATAAACCACGAGATTGCGCGTGTCCGAATGTTTTTTCGATATCAATATTGGGTCTAATTTCGTTTATGATTTATTATGTACAAAATAATGAGAAATAAAGTGATTAACTTGACATATTTATGAACAAAAATATGTGCTGTACCCTATCACAGTTCAGAAAATTTGATAACCAGATTTCGTGTAAATATATAGAGCAATAATTACGCAAGTACCATGATGTCCAAATATTAAATCGAGTAACTGTAATCCAATGGGAGAAATACAGTCTAAAACTGATAGTGCTTTTGACCGCTAGTATGAATCGGACGTAACTCATAACATTACTACTGACTGTTCATAAAGGTCTTACTATTAGAAAACATGGAGAATAAAAGTTCAGCTTGCTGACATTTTGGCAAAATGTTTAGTGTATCGAAAAAAAAATGCATTGGATGTATCCTTTCATCGATGATTGGTAGACCTTGATACACTTCCTCAGCAATGCACTCATTATTTTTGATATTTTTTATATTCCTTTTTGATAATTTTGGATCTTGATGTGCTTGTCCATATACAATTTCACCACTATTCTCGTTCGGTAGTACTTGGCTCAACATACTTAAGTATTCTAATGTCAATAAGGCGTTGATGCATCCTTCGTCTACTCGAGCAATCTATTAAAAAAACAAATATATTATAACGAATACAGATTTCAAAGAATAAAATTAATTGATTTTCTACCTACAACTATGATTTTCAACGTATCTTCATTAAATGCTAAATTGCACAAATATGGAAGGGTAGAGAAATACATGTATATCGTTTTACAGATGATGGATTATGTTATGTGTTTAAACTGTGAACATACTTACACTTTCATACTTCATTGAAAAATATAGATTCCTAAAAATTAGTTTCATGAAACAGTTTCTTTAATGAAAACGTGTTTTATTACACTTTATTACATTTATTACGGTGATACATTAATACACGCACACACAACATCTGACAAGCAACACTTTATATAACCCATTTAGTTACGGGAATATTCGACTGCAAAATACGCAGCTTTTCCTCCTGTTTATGTGATAACTGAAAAAAATCGTTGGCTAGGTTTTGATACACCAACATAGAATGATCATGGGCGTAACCAGGGGGAGGGGCAGGGGGCGGGGCACTAGCGCTCCCCTGGACGGGAAAAAGTGACTTTTGCGCCACCTTACAAGAAAAAAATTTGATTTTACGCCCCTCCTCCCTTCCTAGAGTTTCAAAATTTTTGCGTAATATTTAATATTACAGTATAATTTGAAACACGACCAACAGACTCTATTAACAAAGCGCATACATTTTCAATGATTTATGACTGAAAAAATAAAATGGAGTGTGTCTGGCTACGTATAGCCTTTTTCATTGTGGCATGGGATGTGTTAATATTTTTGCCCCCCCCCCCCCAAACCCGACTGATAACCTGGCTACGCCCATGAGAATGATTTAAATTATTTTTGAATATGTTGTCGGGGGCCTAATTCTAAACAATTTCTTCCTTAGATATAATCGACGGACGGCCTTAGTTCCCCAGATATTTAAAAAAAACTGTGAGTACTACTACAATAAATTTTGCCTATAATCGTGCGTTCGTAACAACGCAACGTACGGCGCAGCGCACAGTGGTCCTTTTCCACGAAAATCCAAACCCCATAACTTCATTGGATTAGCATGAACATCGGTATTCTGATGTTTTTGGGGTTGCTGGATTCGAATATGTTGTCAAGAATGCAAACGTTACAATGAAAAACTTAATACCTTGCTGTTTGAAATGATATTGATTTATCTTTTATTGACATAATTGATACGGGTATTATATGCGTACACATATATTTCGTTAAAAGGACGCAAAAAGAACATGGAATGGACAACTTTATTCGATGAGAATTTATGCAATGAATAACGATACCTCTTTTACTTGTGAAGCAAAAATTTCCTTGTTTTTACAAAAAGCCATTAATTTATTCCAAACGCGTCTCCGGAAAAGTTAAATTCTCCATCTCGGACAAATCAGACAGCAAACAGAGTGGTATTTTTTACTCTTTGAGAGTTGTACTATTATATAGACTGCAAATGAAATGAATTGTTAAAATTAAATCATCGAAAAATAGCTCCAAAGAATTGATACTTTCTTTTCTGGTAAACAATTTGAATAACTTCGTCATTTTTTATTCTGTTGAATTGCCGTATACAGGGTGTCCCAAAAATGTCCTCCGACCCGGAAATGGGGCACTCGGGGGGTGAATTGGAACAAGTTTTTCCTTAGCAACAATGTAATCTGAGGCTTCGTTACCGAGATATTAACGAAAAACCGCGACCAATCACAGCGCGAGTTTGCCAGCCGAGTTCCCGCGCTAGCGATGGCTACGCGCTACGCTTGTACTACGATGCTCCGAACAAGTAGGTCAGCATGCATCGCAGGAAACTGCGTATAATAGCAAATAAAAAAGACGTAACAAATACAATCATACTTTTTATCATCTGCCGTTTGTTATTTAAAGAGATTAATGGATGAAACGTAAATGTAGGCAAATTATGTGTAATGTAAAAAGACGAATACACAATTATTTTTTTAAACAGAATCTTTAAGAGGCCTAAAGAAAAATGTAGTTACGGAAACTTGTAGAATTATTGCCGGGAAAACGTGAAATGTAGCTTGCGTTAAATTAAAAAAATAATAATCAACAATAAATTGAATAGAACTCACCCTTTCGGAAATCCATCTGCAACTTGTAGACCTGTGTCAGTAGGTCACGGTACCGATCCTGGCTGGTGATAACCCAAGTGATTTCTGGTGGGGTAGCGCCTAGTCCACAGCTGTATACGGCACTTCTGAAAGACGTTGTGACAAGTGCGGTCGGGTCAACGCACTGACGGTGTTTATTTCACTGTACGGTCACTAACACTGTCCACTTCTCAGAATCGTATTATTTACTTTAAATAGTTTTTTTATTTATCGTGTTGCTCCTACGTTAACTTATTGTTATAGAGGAATGTGGTATTCCTACGTGAATTTATTGTTATAGAGGAATGTGTTGTTCCTACGTTAATTTATTGTTATAGAGGAATGTGTTGTTCCTACGATAAGAAAAATTGGTGGCCCCGAAAGGGGCCGATTGTTTTCAATGCAGTAGGTGTTCGAAATTACCCCCCGTGACAGCTACGGAGACTTCAGCACGCCTAAGTATGTTGTGCTGCGCCCGCTGCAGCATCGGTACGTTGATGTTGGCTACGGCTGCTTGTAATCGTGCTAGTACATGCCCAACCATCTGGACCGGTTCACGATACACCTCATTCAAAAATGATCATTGTAAAATAGAAATAAAACATAAGTATGAAAACCTATCTGAATATTAAGTTATAATTAATAACAATAATGAAATTACCTTCGGGTGTCCACACAAGAAAAAATCCAAAGGAGTAATATCCGGGAATCGCGGGGGCCATGCGACAGGACACCTGTCCTGGAAAGTGTTGTCCAAGTATGCGCGGACATTTGCGGCGTAATGGGCAGGTGCCCCGTTGTGTTGATAAAACATGTTCTCCCGGATGTCTAGTGGAATATCTTCCAAAAGGTCCGGGAGATCATATTCTAAGAAAACTTTATACGTTGGGCCATTCAATCTGTCGGGAAGAATGTACGGCCCAACGATAAAGTCGCCGCAAATTCCCGCTCATACATTGACTGACCAGCGGTCTTTGACTGCGCGTTCACAAAGAGTGTGCGGATTTTCATCGTCCCACACATGCATATTATGGGCATTGAAGCAGCCTTCTCTCATAAAGAGAGCTTCGTCAGTCCACAATATGCATTTGCAGAACGATGGATTCCGCGCTACTTCGTCCAGGATCCACCGTGAAAATTGCATACGTTGGATATAATCTGTGGGGCGCAAATGTTGCACCCGTACATACTTATACGGGTTCATCATATGGTCCTTCAGAATGCGATGTACTGCTGATGGGTCCATACTAGAACAAATTGCATAAGTACAATATTATTAAACAAAATCTGTTTCTCTTGATTAACAATTGATGTAGTCTTACGTTGTAGTGTAACTTACTCGAGACAGCGGCTCATGTCACGCACACTGACAGTTGGGTCTGTAGTCACTGCTGCCAGCACCCTATCGTTCGCAGCATCACTTCGCGTACTTCGGCGCCAAGCACAGTTGCTAGTACGGGGCACGAAATTTCCCGTGTGATAGGTTCTGTTTGCTAACTGGCGAAAGCTGTTCGCGGACGGTAGAGTTTCCGCACTCTCATTTGGGTGCTCGTCAGCGTATTGCTGCGCCGCGGCCACAGTGTCACCAGTACACTTCACGTAAATCCACAGCATGCGAAAATATTCGTGCGAAGAATACATGTTTGACCGTCACTGAATGTCACGAGATACTGTCTGTGATTCTTCCTAAGGAGCTTCTTCTACCCCCAAAACTCCGTAGTAAAACTTTAGGTGGGAATATGTTAGGACCAATGACAATTTAGGACGGTTTCCCGATTGCGGACCGCCTACGTCACGCAACTCGCAAGATGCGAGTGGGCAAAAAACCAATGCACAATAACTGCTCCTGTCGAAACCATCCTTGAAGTCCCATAAATTTACCAACGTGAGTGCCAGCTAGATCCTCCAGGAACAATGTCCTTACTCGCAAGGCAACTCAACATCGGACTCTTGGCCATCTCTAACTTTTACGCATCTGTTTCACATAAACGTTCCTGTAGGCCAGGCCTGTCCAACATGTGGCCCACGAGTCATTTCGCCAGACGACGCGATCCCCACCATCACTCAGTCCACTCCCCACTACTCGCTTGCGCTGTGATGCGTCGTGGGGGTAGGAATTTCTGGAGCGTCGGAAGTGGGGACAGTCAGAGCATGTACACACGCTTTCTTGCCTCTATACGTCGGCTTCTTGTGGCTATGGAGGGGGGTCATTCCCCTCGGCTGAAAGAGCAAGCCGGTAGGGGCGATTATCGATTTTGGCCCGCGGGCCACAAGTTGAACAGGCCTGCTGTAGGCCATCGATAACCGAAAGACCCACCGTGGTCTTTCGCGACCGTACAACGCTAGGTCTGTTTCGTCTCACGGACCCTCCTTCAAGATCGCACGTAGGCTAAAAATCCTTGTAATGCAAAAGGCTGTATGTCTTGAACAAATTCTTTCTCTTGTGAAATTGTACAATGGCACTTCTGCAAAACACATGTGCGTTAGTAGCGTCAATGTCATTTAGGAGTCGCAAACCGATACCTTATAGCTCAGGGATCGTTGGAGAATTTACAAGGGTTTTTAAAGGCGTTGCACGGCCGCGAAAGACCACGGTGGGTCTTTCGGCTATCGATCGCCTACAGGAACGTTTATGTGAAACAGATGCGTGCAAGTTAGAGATGGCCAACAGTCTGATGTTGTGTTGCCTTGCAAGTAAGGACGTTGTTCCTGGAGGATCTGGCTGGCACTCGCGTTGGTAAATTTATAGGATTTCAAGGGTGGTTTCGGGAGGAGCAGTTATTGTGCATTAATTTTTTGGCCGCTCGAATTCTTGCGAGTTGCGTGACATAAGCGGTCCGTAATCAGGAAACCGCCCTAAATTGTCATTGGTCCTAACATATTCCCACCAAAAGTTTTACTACG